TCCTGACTGTACACGTGTCAGCAAATTAAGAAGTTAATTAATTTAAAGGATTCGTTCTCAGAATCCCCAACGTACTCAAGATATCGAGCATAGGCGTAGCGGGTGGTACATGTCTACGGGGGAGGGGGGTTAGTGTGCATCTTGTCCAAATATTATCGATGTGGGGAATAATGAATGCCCGAATGGAGTGTGCATGTCCCTACCTTTTCCTGAAAATGGGGGTAAAAGCCCTTCCAGCCCTATATCTACTACACCAATTGTATCAAATTCTTTTATGCATTCTAATAAGAAAAGGTAAACGGTCAATTTTGAAACATGTCATAGTCGATATTTCTAACGTTTCGATGTCATGTATCAAATAATCATGAGTTACACAATTAATGCTTTTGGCACATTTTGAAGAAAATTGGCATTCTGACACTTTTTCAAGTAGAACTCGATATTTCTGCATGGTAAAAAAGTTTTTAATTTTTTCGCAGCATTTTTCGTGGAGTTTAAATGGGTTTTCTTTTTATCTCTACCTTTATGTAATGGTATCAGGATAGACACATTTTTCTCTTTGGGATCTCGTCTTAGTAGAATTGTATTGGAATATATCTTAAAAACAGTGCTTCTCTCTTCTCTCCTTCGTGCAATGTTTGTTATGTTAAAAGGAGCCTTTGGGTATATCAAGAAGGTAATGCAATGAATCAAAAACCGAACGTCTAAAAATGGCAATTATGCTTCAATTCCATATGCTCATAAGCAAACGTCATGTCTCGTCGAGTCTGTGTGTCTTAAACCTGGCATTAGTTTGAAATTCAATACACAACCAAAAGGCTTTACAAGAAAATACTGTGGCATTTCAATAGATGACCTGCTAAAACGAGGAATTCAAGCATGATGAACTTCAAATGCTTCAAAGACAGGTTTAGGCCCAAAAGGCAATACCCACAACCTTGATATTTCTTTTCGATCCATCATGTTTTTGAAAGTAGCGATGGGCTCAATTTATAGGAGACAGATTTTTGTGGGTCTTCTAATACTGATTCCTGTCTTTCCTTTGAAAAATGACATTTTCAATTTTTTTAGAAGTGTAGCACTTGTCCTTTGAAAAATGGCATAATTCTGTTCCACTGGCCCCACTAGCCAGTGTCCTGGATATTCTTCATTGGCTAACATAGCACCAAGGGGGAATAATCTTTTTCCAGGATAGGGGTGCTCAGGCTAGGGTAGAAACCATCAGCTCAAAAAATAATTACTAGAGAAAAAGTTAACCTCAAACTGCAAAAGAAAGTTTGCTTTTTTCTCTGTTTTTTAAAAATTTCCCCATTAACGATACCCAAAAAAACAATTCGGAATTTCATGAACCCTACAAGTGATTGTACAATTGACTGATCCAAAAAAATAATCATTTTTCAAATTCAAGACCCAAAAAGTAACCCAAGCACCCCTATCCTAAAAGTTCACCCCTCTGGAACACAGAATTATATTATAAGCCCGTACCAAACATTTATTAAAGTCTAAGGTATACCTATTTCTAAGCTCGAAATTTAAAAACAATCTGGAAATTTGGTAAATAGTCATGTACAAAGAATCTGCGAGGAATGGATGATATCGAGATTATTAACGTTGGCAAGAAAGAACATAAAAATACTTTACAATGTCCATACGAAACCTACAAAAACCCTATATCTAACATTATATAAGAGAAGAGAGAGAGAGAAGAAGACCAAGACAAATGTGGTACACCAAGGTATGAGAACCTGAAGAAGAGTGCTCAAGACCAGCCAAGATGGGGATCTATTTTCGCCAACCTTGTGGAAAGAGAAGGCCCTATTTCCTGACATATACACAGCCGTTGGTATTTTTAACGTGTTTGTTATGTTTAGATCCACCTGTTGCTTGCATGCGTGCAAGCATGCATAGGAGGTCTGATCTGGCTCCCGAATCTACATAAAATAGTTTTCCATGCACCCTCCATCTCCCCCCCACCCCCCACCCCTCCAGAAACTTTTGGTGTGAGATTAGCTAAGAAGGAGAAGTAGAGGTACTCCGTTTGACCATGGCTCCAAGTTCCCATCTGTATAACGTCATAGTAGAAATAGTATATCTTGTATCTTGCTTCGAGGGATGCACCAGATTCTCGAAATAATTGACTCATCGAAGATTTGCTCTTATTCATCTAAAGGTGATGGGGTCAAAACATAGGGATAGATGAGTATCGTTTTGATGAACGGTGACAGAACTTTGTTAAGGTAGCGGAATATAATAGCCTTATCTCATAAACTCTTATATTTCAAATTTTGCGAAAAGTTCACGACAACAGTTAGGTTCTAGTGATTAAACAAGTATCATATTACATAGAAATGACATTTCACAATAACAGTAATCTTGGGCAATGGAATAAGGCGACTGGTAACTATGAAAGCAACATAGGGAGAGTAGATTCCTAAACAATGTATACTTTTTACTAACATCAAAACATATGAAACATCTTCTAGCAACAATCCTTTTAGGCGTGGCGCTTGAGACAAACATTCAAGGTTATGACATCTTTATTCAAGGTAACTGCCGACGGGCTTAAGCCCCCTTGCCCTCCCCCCGTACCGCCATTCCTGAACTCTAGGAAAAAAATGTTCTATAGCCTTCAGTTTGGTTTTAAAGAAAAGCCCTCTGCAGTTCATCCCGTTCTTGAGCCATGCAAGTCCTGATGACAACATTTATCAAAACCCCGTTGATAACAAACACCGCATAGTTCTAACTTCAGCTTTTAGCACGAGTGGCCATTGTACACAAAAAGCTCTATCATTACGGGGCATACACAACTGGCTCTCTAGTCACTTAAAAACAGAACTCAGTAGACAGTAACTAAAAGCAAAATGTTCTAAATAAGCCAAGAGTGCCTCATGGATCCATACTAAGACCAGTTCTTTTTACCCTTTATCTGAATGATATCCCAAGTCAAGCATGTTAAAAAACTGGTTTTTCACATATGATATTAACTACTTGCATCACAACTGATACTAAACTTTTCTTGAAAACGCAAAATTACAAAAAAAAAGAAATTGGTAAATATGAACCCATATTTTGTCAAACTAAAGCAAAATATTCTTTAAGAATGCCAGAAATCATTTCATAATTTTGTTGTGTATTCAGAGGTATGTTACTGCCTTGAGACTTATGGGCTGACTAGAAAGAAGCAGTTTAAGGATTTGCAGACGATGGGAAATAAAATATCAAAGAACTTACTCTTCAGAGAACTTTATTGCTCGACTGATTACCTACACTAGAAATCTAACTGCCTAAAATTGAGATGCGATTCTGCAACTAATGCATCGAAAAAAGCAGACAAATGACAAGGTGCCACAGGCCCTAAGAAAACAAATATCACAGTATAATTTCATATGACTCGTTGGTACAACTTTTGTAGAGAAATACTATTGAAAAAAAGCAAAAATTTTGATAAAAATATCATTATGTTTTTTTTTAATTTTACCACATAGCCAATATAACACCTATCTGTCGCGAATAGACTGAGATGTGGTCTCATGAGTATACGCTGATTCATCATCGAATCACTGTGATTAAGTCTTGATTTTAAATTACAATTAACAAGGGCTAATCGATGAGGATGCTTAGGGCAGGATTGCTTCTACTGTAAAAAAGTTCCTTAATTTAAATAGATCAATTCGAGCCAATCAATTTGAGCCTTCAAAACAGATACTTTTCAGTAAAATTGATTGCCATCGTTTGGCTCATTGCAATCAAACGTCTCTGCTTTCATTTTAACTTGAAGTTAATACCTTATCAAGGCAACAGTAGAGTTGAAACTGATGGACTGCAAACGATGCCGTTCTCAAGCGATAAGAATGCAGGGGTGTTGGAAAGCGTTCTTGAAGCTTTTATCTCTGTTTGTATTCTAATTATTTTACATTCCTTCAAATATATCTACACTTGTTTTCAGGTTAGACAGAAAACTCTTTTACTTGGTGTGATGGAATATATCAGAATTTTGATTTTTCGGATTTTATGAATTGTGTATTTTGAATATTAGGATTTAAAAAGACGATTCAAAAAAACAATTTTTTCCCAACTTATGACCAACTTTTCCAATTGAAAGGATGTTCGTCACAAATATTTGGCAAATTTTTATTTATTTTCTAGCAAAATCAATGCAGGGGTCTCGAAACGATAAAGAAACAAAAAACAGCATTTCAAAACGATGCAACATCGAAACTGTGATGATTTACAGCTATCTCTTTGCGTCATTTGACGGCAATTGACTCCACAGCAAAAACCACATTAAACACATATCGTTTTGCTTAATATTAACCTTTCATTTCAACAGACTCGCAGCATTAAAGATTTAGAGATTTGAAACTTTCTTTCTCCGAGCATCCGCGCGCTTTTCGTGATAAAGTGGTCAAAGGCACAGCAAGCCACTAGGAACAGGTGCAAGCAAATTAGGCCTAACTTTTCTGAATCTGGGTCACGGGCAACTCTCGCCAATATTTGCATAACAATGTTAGAAAGGATGACGAAGAGAACCTCAGTCGAGCTTTGGTTGCAACTAAATCAAATTTTCTAATCGGATATAAAAATTGCTCTGAAACTACATCAGGAGAGTTGACGGAGGGTGGGCAGAGGCCTTTTGATAATCTCACAATCAGAGAAAGTGTCGTTTCAAAGCCGAAAACGTGCACTATTATCAGGAACCTTAGATTGTCTTTCAATGACTTTCAACTGATTGTTGGTTTTGCAAAAACCTGACCCATGATGTGATGTATTCAATTCATATCGAATGAGGTGTGCAGCAACAGATCTCAGTAGCAGCATTGAAGATCTGTCGCAGCGCAGCAAAGTAGATGAAGCATCTGCAACACTGATTGAAATGAAATAGACACAGCATTGGGAAAAACAGCAATTTGGATGAAAAGCACTTTCTACAAAGTTCCCTTGGAGAATGAACCAAGGCCTACTGTATTTTCAATGGCCAATAATATCTGATAGGGTACATGCCCCATAGTCCCTACGCCCATTACGGCAGTATACATTTACCAGACATGGTGATTGATGGATGACGATGAAATAACGATGGCCTTTGACAGTATTCGAATGAGCATTTAGGAGCCTTTGCGAGACAGAAAAATACAACTTTTTTATAAAAATCAAGTAAATCTAAAATCTATGAAGTGCAAAAAGTGTGTGTTTATGCAATTGAAAACGAGCTCAGTAGCTGTAACTTTCATAAGACTACAAATTTTAAAAAGCTACCAAACGTTTTGATACGTGTAGGGCAATATACTAAATAGGCAGCTCTTTTTGTTAACTTGAATTAACTTATGATATATGACATTCATGTTCTCCAATTTTTCAAAACAGACATAACTGGTTAGTTTTGAGTCCTAAAGCGTACTAGGGGAAAAAGATTATATTCAAGAACTTAGTGTGGATATCAGACCCAACTCAAGAATATGGCCGACAAAGTTAAGGGTTCAGGTGTATGGCCAACTTCGTCGTTGTCTAGGACCTTAGATATGACTCATGAATTGAAATTCAGCTCCAAAGAACGAGGCTAATTAAAAATTTCAACTTTAAGCTGCCTAGCAGTGCCCTATCACCTTATACGTCCATTTACAATACAATACGAAAATGACAAAATCAACCTAAAACCAAACCAGTTGGTGCTGTACAACATTAATCAATCGAGATAATCGATTCAAGAAATTTTAACATTACTTTCCCCAAAAACCAAATCATCGATCAAATCTTGACAGCTATGGCTGAGTCAGACTTTTACAAACTGGCTAAGTCAATACGGAGAGATTGCTTGAGTTAGCTCATTTGAACTGTTGAAACACTATTTGGTCAACGATTATGCATAGCTAAGATTTGATCAATGTTCTACGTATTGCAATAATGTTGTGCTATGTGCCTGATCTGGCAGTGCACACAGAACAACCATTTTCCCGGAGTCCACGATTTAAACCCTAAGCTTAATCTACTTTTTACAATAGGTTTTGCAATACTATTCAAGTAAAACATTACATATTAATTATTACAACAGTCAAGGATATTTTGCTTCTCAAAATTTGATAACTTTCATTTTTCAATTATGAACAATTCAAAATTTAAAACAAATTCTTTCATTTCTAATATTCCACAAAAATCCAAACAATGCAAGAGACATTGAAAAGCGATTTGTAATTAAAACAACTAACAAAACTACGTATCAAATGCACAAATAGCTCAAAGCAAAGAAGGAGACAAGAATTTCTTTAAAGACCTACTATGTTTTAACGTGAAATTGCTGCTTAAAGTGGTGTAATAGACTACCAAAAAAGAATATGCCTTAGCAGAAAGGAAATACTTGAATTGGGAGTTTTAAATGAAAAACAGAACATAACCTTCCATAAGTAATTGGAGTTTTTCCTTAAAAAATAGGCCACCAAATTACACTTAATCAAAGACATTGGTCTTAGTTTGTATTTTGGAGAAACATCGTAGAGAAAACACCTGCAGAAGTGCTGCAGACACATCGTACAAGAAAATAAGCAACAACTTTCAGACTGGTTACACTATAGCGCGATGCTCTGGGTTAAGCGACGACTGGAATTTCCTTGACTAATGATCATGTCCAACGAATCCCCTTCTTTGCAATCTAATCACAGGAAATAAAAAATATCTATCATCACAGCAAATAATTAAGATAATACTCTAAAACGAAAAAAATAAACCCTAAGCTTACTATCTACAAAATCAGCACCAAGCTTCATTGCAAGCAAGTTGGAGCAGTCCAACCAAACAGTTTAGCAATCAGAGTCACTGGGCACTTTGTTTGACCTGACTTCATCACCATACCACTGCACTTGGCTGTACAAAGGATTAGTTAGGCCAGGATCCTCACTGGTTTCAGTGTTGTCATCTTCGTCGTGAGTAAGGTTTGTAGCTCCATATAACGGGTTAGAAAACATTTTGCTGTGGTTATTGACCTCATTTTCATCTTCGCCGTACATTGGGTTTACCATGGCAACATCTGTGTCACATCTCTTAGCTATATGTCTCTCCATTGCATCATAATAGTTAACGCCAACATCGCCAGGAAATTGTGTCGCCTCCGCAGCGGCATTCCTACGTGCGTTTCGTTTCCTTATTCGTGCGATTAGAACAAATGCGACCATCATTAATAAACCAGCTCCACCGCCAATTAGAATGTAAATGTTGTTACCCTTAAGGATCTTGAAGCCACCAACGTCTCCCTCTTTGTCTTTCGAACTCTTTCCTGTTTCGGCTGTAATACCAAGTTCCTTGATCCGCTGGTAGGAAGCATCGCAATAAACCCAATATATCGAAGACTTTTGCAATCTGGAACAAGTTTTATTGACAGCCCTCAAGAAAGAATCTTGCGCCACAAGGTTATCTTTAACTCTGATAGCCAAAGGAAACAAAACATGCTTTGATTCAGAGAGAACATTTCTCTTCGTCTTTGATGACTTTAAGGGATACATAACAACATCAGTAGCCTTAAAGAAGCCTCCATTTGATAAATCTTCGTCGAGGTCAACAGCATAGTACGGGATATCAACCAATTTTGTTATAAAGCTTCTAAATGTGTATTTCCATTTGTTCTGCAACAGGGTATTTTCTGGAACTGACGTCGAAGGAAAAGAAAGTGTCACTACTTGGTTCTCAGTGGCACAAAGAACCTTTTGACCACCTTTATCTAAGCTTTTAACATCGGCATACCCAGGAGGGACGCAGACATTATTACCGCATGGATTAGGATTACAATCTTTTTCCAGTCTGTTGCATACTAAGCCCCAGATACCTTCAGAGCACGAACACGAAAATCCTGCTACAAGATCTGAACAGTCACCTTTCACGCACTCTTTTCTGTTGCATTCATTTATATCGATCTCACAGTTGCGACCCTCGTAACCATCGTCGCATTCGCATCGATAATTGTTAACGAGATCGAAGCATGTGCCATGCTGACATGGTGCTCCTGCACAGTCGTCAATATTTGTCTTGCAGCGATCGTCAGTGAACCCTGGTTGACAAACACACCTGAAGCTCATCAGCTTGTCAACACAAGTTCCGTTGTTGCTGCATGGCAAGCAAGTTGCTTTGGACTTGCATGCCTTGTCCGGATCATCGCAAAACTGGCAGCCAGCCTTGCAGTCGTCTATTTGCTGACAAGTGCCCATTTTTGGCTCGTAACCACGCAGACATCCACAGTTTCCGTGGGTGCTGTTAATGCGCTGGCAAAGCTCTTCTCCGCAGTCCAGGGTGCCCGTAAAACATGGGTCAGACCGTTTTACTTTAATTACGACCATTCCTTGGGCCGAAAGCGGTGGCACGCCATTATCACTAACATTCAGGCTTAGATTATAATTCTGAACTGTATCAAAATCAAGTTCTTTTTTAAGGGCTAAATAAGATACCTTAGCAGGTCCATGGGTCTCGACAACTTGGAATGTATCCCGCCAGTTCAATGCAGAAAAGGTCAAAAGTTGTTTGAATCCTTCTGGGTTATCGGCAAAAAGTTCTCCAATGTGTGTGCCAACCGTTGTGTTTTCTGGTACCTCGTTACCAACAAGGTTCACCATACGGATATTAGATGGGAACTCGTTAACATCCGTGATTTCTACTTGGATGTCGGCAGATAAAGACAAACTAGGCTGGCCGTTATCAGTCACTTTTATGGTTATTGGGATGGTCTTGGAAGCGGGCAATGCCTCGTAGTCCAGCCGAGACGCGTTTCTCACGCGTAAAAGAACAGAATTCTCATTAATCTGCAAAGAAAAATTGGAAGTTCTTACAACAATTAATAAACGATATAGGTTGAAAGTTTCAGTCCCAAAAAAGGACCTATTATGATTTTTCATTTAACAGTTAAGGCAAAATAGATTTTTTTAGATAAGGTTCCTCAGGAACGGGGTTGTTTCAACAGCAAAGGGTTCGTTACCTCAGCTAATGGGTCATCTCTTCAACAAAGAGTTTGTCGCCGCAGCAAAGAGGGTCGTCCTTTCAACAACAGGAGCGTTGGGTAAGATCAGTGCTATTTCATTCTTGCATAAAAAGCTCGAAGGGAGGGTCATTCGCACTTATGACCCACGAGCAATCAGATGGTCACCCACAAGAATGTTTCTTACAAAAATATGCATATTTTTCTTGTTTGAGAATGATAAAAAACTGAAGGAAATGACCTTTTATCATTTCAATTTATTGGGGGAAAGTAAAAAAGTTAAGCAGCGTCTGCTCCCCTAAATAAGGATTTGCTATATCAGTGGTACTGCATTGACAAACGAAACTGCTCCTAAAACGCTTTATAATGTATCATTTGGTTGCCTGTTGATCGCGTTTAGCGTGAAACTCGGAGTAGCAACTTATAACCGTCCAGTTCTATACACCAAAAGCGTTATGTATCATTCGTGTATCGCCCTAACAAAAAGATGGACAGTCAAAACAAGTGGCAGAGAGATGAACGGTAAAGATGCCCTAGGATGGCAACCGATTCCAACGTTCTTGATGGTCGGATTTCAAAACTTTCGTTTGTTACAAACTTGTCAGATTCATTCAGTAATTTTTGATCATCAGGTAACTTTTTTGCTGAAATTAAAGCCTTGAACTTGTAGCAAAAAGGGACGTTGAGGGCAAATGTTTCGATTAAAGGAAGCTCTAACAAAAGTAATGGCACTTTGCAATATAAATTTTTTCGCAGTAATAACTTTCCCAGTAAGTAGAAAATAAGACATCATTTCTTGCAACCCCCGGTAGACTGAAATGAATTATTGACCCTCACTTTTTCTATTGAGAAAAGAAGACCCGATGCATATAAATTTGCTTGTCAGTTTATCAAAGACAAATTCAAATCACTGGTACTTTATTTTTTGGCTCGAATAGAAATAAATTTCTTCGAGAAGATGTCAGGAGTTGCAGCAGGTAGGACAATAATGTGGCGAATTAATCTACGGGAAATTGTACAGCAGAAAAGCATTACCATGAAAACGTCATCCTTGGAATACATTGTGTACGAGTGTTTCTGGCTTTTGTCTTGATCAACGCATGTCAGCTGCCCAACCACTGCTTCTGGTGGTGAATTCTCCGGTAACAAGACCCGACTTCCTCCATTGATCAAGATTTCTGTTGGTTTATCATTGGAATCAATAACAGCAATGCTTATCTGTTTTTGCACTGATAAAGCTGGTGAGCCATTGTCGAAGCATTGTACTGTTGCTGGTGGAAAAATCGTGTCAAAAGTCACAAAGAGGTGAGTGACATACTCTTTCCAATAAGATAGCAGCGGTGTCAACATACAGTGTATCAAAAATTCAATATGTAAACAATGTACGAAGTAACGTATCAAGCAAGAAATCTCTAGTAGGACGATGAAAGTAATCGAAATTTCTGATTATTCTAAGTTGTTTTACCAGATTCTAAAGTCAGCCTAGTGGCGGTAGAGCTCCAAACTTAAAAATAACACATAATGGAAACAACGATGAGATTAGCAAAATTGGACACAGTCTTACAAGAAAGTATACAAATTTTGCAATTTAAAAAACCGTTTTTCACTGAAATAGCAATTTCCCGAAACTCCTAATGGAGGGGGCATTACAAAAGAAGCTGAACTTCCTCTTCATGGTCACATTTAGACTTTGCAATAAGATAGGAATTGGACTTTGCAATAATATAACAAGGAATTGTCAATAGGTGAGAAATAACAAAATATACCATTGATAACTGGAGCAGTCTCAAAATCCAAGGTAGCACTTCCCCTGATCCACATATCGACAGTATCGGTACTAGCTCCACTTCTGAAGAAAAAGAAGCCAGGGTTGTTGACAACAGAGCATGAGCGAACTCTGTGATCTCGATCTTCGTCGATTACTTTAAGATTAGCCACGGCCCTGTCAGCTGTGTTGTTCTCTGGTACTGGATAAAGTGTGACGACAATATCGGATGGTGCATCATTGGAATCCGTAATGGTTATGTTGAAAGATTTTTGGAAACTCAGCGCTGGATTCCCGGAATCAGTCGCATTTATCATTATGCTGATTGATGCTTCTGTTTCAAAATCGAGTTTTCCAGCTACGATAAGATGCATTCCATGTATCGCCAAATTATCTGGAAGCAAGAAGATATGTGTGAATTGCATTTCAAACATTAATGCACCGACCAGTTTTTTTTAGTCGGTTATGTCAGGAAGAGACCTGGAGGCCTATATCAAAGCCCTAACCAGGGAATAGAAGGAGGGGATAAGAAAAGAGGGAGACGAGGTTAAATTTCTTGATTCTAGGTTGGAAAGAACAAAGGTTATAAGGGTCTGGGAAGCAAGAAGAGTTTAAAGCGCTCCAAAATTTCCGAGTTCTTGGAAGGAAAGATAATTGTTGGACACTTTTCATGAATTTAGTAAGGGTCAGCAAGAGAAGAGTTTGTCTTAGAGGACCAGTGATATTATCTTTGACCTACAGGAACTGTGAGTACATCCATGGGCAGCATCCCAACGCCGACGAGAAAGAGTTTGGAGAGACTTTGTTGGATATTGTTGGAATTAGAAGAAATATATTATTGGTGAAAAGGACGAATTAATCAAATACACAAGAGATGCAATCGGGGACACTGACAGTCTTGCTACCCTGGGTACCAGAGCCATAACATCACAGGCGTGAACAGTAATGTAGTAGATAGATAGGATATTTTTAGTGTTAAAATGGAAAAGTTTGCATTTCCACACCTTTTTGCCGCTTGTGTATCTAGGGTATATCCTTACCTATATTGTTGATGAGGTTGAAGATATGAGTTTGTCCAGCATCTTCATCAACTGTGCTCAAAGTACCAACAATTGTTCCAGAGGGCGAGTTCTCCGCCACAATTGTTGAAGACAGGGTGATATCTTGAGGACGGTCATTGACGTCTTGTATCTTTGGAAGGGAAAGAAATATCTACATTTAAGGATATCGCGATTACCTTAAGGCAGTCATACTTAGTACTCAATGGTAAAAGCAGTTGAGTTGGCATCTTAATCTTTCCAAGATGGATAACGTCACAACGACAGGGAAGTGATACCAACGTACCCCGGGTCCTTAGCATCTTTGCCATAGAAAAAATTCCTGCAAAAATTTTATTTTTGTGGTCAAAGTTTATGCCAAAGGCCATAAAACCCTCAAACAAGACGCAATAGTGAAGCCAGAAAAAAGTCTTTGATCTCTCCGGATCAAAACTTTCTCTCTGGTTGTCTGGATAGTGCGTTAGGTCTGGGACGGAAATTTCGACTTAATATCACTAGATTGTGTAATATTGATGGGCTTGTCAATTCAAAGTAAATGATTTATCGTATTATCATGCTTGCAGTCTGACATGATGCTTAAGTATGATCTCGTCAGAGTTCCGCGGGTAACATCGAAGAACAAGATCTCTGAATAATGAATGTCTTAGAAAGAAACAGTTGAATGATGAAGGGGATGACAGGAGCAAAGGTGGTTCAAGTCAAAACATCGCATTATGCTTTTTTCATTCGCTGTTAAACATCATCAAAGCTACACGCAGATATCAGCAAGCCACAGCGAAAAAGGAGTCTGGTTGCTCTCAAAATATATTAAATTTAAATTAACATCTATCTAAAAAACATGTTTGTGAAGAGTATTAAGAAAAATAGCTTCACTACCTAACTTTTTTATTGTATACAAGCCATTGATTACACAGTTCTTCTGTAAGATAGGCTCTATGTAAACAGCAGCATAACGACTTCTTAGTCTAGCGCACCTGTCTGGCATGCGTTTTCGCGGTATTTCAAATAGTGTCCTATTTTTCACTCATTTCCTAAGCAATTTTTAATCGTTTGATCCAACATCACACAAAGTTCTTATCAATTTACAATCATGAGGGATGCAAGTTTTAAAACCTGACACCACATTGCCTAGAATGGTCGCCAAAAGAAGTTGGAACACAGAGATTGGGCTTGTAAAAATGTATAATTGTCTTCATTTTCCTATTTCGAGCGGACGCCCCCCCCCCCTTTATCGTACTGAAACCTTGAAAATGTCAAGAAGCATCGATGAAGGAACCGGGGATGGCATAGGGGGCATGTGCTCCAACTTTTTAGAAACAGAGGCCAAGTACCTTTTTCAGCTCACGGAAGTGCTCCTTTTTGCCTTACCTTGGGAACAAGAGCCACATAAACTCACGCGCGTAAATAGAAAAAGGGAACAGAGAAGCGTCTATATGTTTGCCTACATGTGTCCCACGCCCGCTTTTGAAGTTCTTCCATGTCTTTATCAACAAAAACTTCAAAATACGAAATTTTTCGTTTTTCAGGACTGCGGTTTCTTCCATTCAAAAATAATGAGAGACCCCCTCGATCTCATTATGCCCGCCGACACAGCACATTAAACTTATGAATATTATCATTTGCTGTAATTTCTATTACGCAAGACATTCCTAGAGGACATTAGTCCTGCGTGTATCGAAAATTTCATTGGAAACTGCAAGGAATGAGGCTCTTTCGAAATAGGGAATCCCCATTCGACATCACAGGCTGACCAGCCCTGTGTAGAGGTTTTGGCAAACTGTTGAATCCCCCGGCTAAGATAACATCTTAAAAACGATTATCACTGTTAAGCCGCATTTCAAGGAGGTGAATGCGTACCATAGTGACTAAACTAATCAGGAACAGATGTCTGAAGAATACCTACCGTTATATCTAGGATTTGTTCTGTTGAAAGAGGAGGGCTTCCATTATCCGTAGCGCGAATCTTGACAGAGAATCTGCTCTTAGTCTCGTAATCGAATCGCTGATTGGTTATCAGTGACGCGCCGCCAACCAATCGGAAAGCAGCTGAATCAAGCCCAGGCAATAAATCGATTGTCACATTGTCAACATATGTCAGCTGAAAAAAAAGATTAATTCAAATACAGCGAGAATAAGAACAAGGCATGTTTGAAAACATTTTTCGAGTTATTATTTCAAAATCAATGGCTGATCACCTTAAGCAGTTTCTGAATCAATAAAAGAAAGTATTGGCGTGAGAGATCTGATCAAAATTAAAATAAAAATAGGATAAGATAAGTTTAATGCTTATCATACGATGGATTAAGGACTGACAAAATACGACATAACAGAAATGGACCCTCGGAAGTCAGGGGGGGGCCTAAATAAGATATTTTCGTTGTGAAAGTAAATGAAATCTGGCAGTACACCATGATGAATTACATGTATACCCTACGCCGAATGTATGCCGAAAACAATCACTTGCACGTCGCTAAGCCGAGAAGAAACATAACTCTATGTCGACGATCTTCAGCCGTATATAATGATTGCAAACTAGGCAATACACCGGCAAAACACTGCAATTTTAAAAGATGTCGTAGGAAACGCAACTAAATTTTGCAATTGACGAGGAATATAATATTTGTGCTTATGTTATGAAGCTTAACGCCTAGAAGTTCAAGGATTTTTCATATACCAATGTCAAATAAACATTGTTTGTACAGAATCAATGAGCAAACAAGGTCTTCTCTTTATTTAGGTGTTCCTAGGTGTTAAAATTACTTTGAGCAAAGACGCTGCATTTTGAGCCACAATGCGGTACTGGAGATTCTTGCTGCATCGCTGTAATCCAATGAAGGGCTTTATTTTTATGCATGTTTTCAAGGTTCTTTTTCATTTAGCATCTTGACTGGCAAAAATTTTCGCCCAGATCTACCCCTTTCTACTTCTACCACAACATTGTCTGTTGTTAACTAACTATTAGTTTTGAAACAAACTTAGTCAAAGTTATACAAATGCAAGCACAGCAAACACCAGTGAGTATATTATTATTTGTAGCTGATTTCTGTTCAATTCCACAACTCTAACGTGGATACATTAGTACAGTAAGCGGAGGGCAGTAAAAGAGTAAACAATGTCCCACTAGAAAAGTTCAAAACTCTCTAACATCATTGTTCTACATTTTATGCTGGAAAAAGCCTGCTATCGTGTAAACGAGAACAAACTGAAATCTTCATTAACAAACTACCATTATCGCAACTTCTCCTTTAAAATTAAGTTACAGGATCAATATTTTTCAATTTTAGCACGACTGTTTAATAGTGCTAATGAGAATGTGTAGTTTTGAAGATGTAGAAGATACAAAAAGAAAGCGATGGAAAGGAATAAAAGGAAACAAGGCAACTACTACATATCCGAAAACAATAGACGGTGAAACACAGATGACGAGGAATCACAGGACAAAAAATTAACAATTGGACATTGGACCAACTTCGAAACAAAAATATTTCACTTCTGGCAAATGTTCACGTATTTTGTTGTACTAAAAAAGGGTCAAAAGTAATAAAATTTTGCTTTGTTATTTTATCAAGCATGATGATGTGTTAGGTCATTACTACGTTTTAAAAATATTAATTGACGAAAAGTCCAAATTGCGCAGCAGAAAACGTCATTCCTAACTTGCTTAAAAACAAAACTTCCACACTTTTCCTACGAAGAAAATTATACATGCGAAAAGATTAGAGGTTAATAGATGTTCGGCGATAAACTGGGAATTTCTTACGTGAAATTTTTTTTTCCTGCTGTTACTAGGCTGTTAGTTTGTAATAAACCAGCTTCAACTTAAAAATGATATCAGCTTAAATCTGTACATGTTCACTAGCAGAGTTTAAGCAGTAACGACGAGAACGTCTATAAGATTTCTTGTAGACTACGATAGAGAAATTCAGATATCACAAAGCAGACAAAACAATGCTGCTCTACAAGGCTGTTTCCAAGCCCCTATTATCTTTACTATCAAACTTGTACTTCTTTCTTAAAATGTTTTTGTAAATTACGAGACTCTAGTCGTTAGACAGTAGGCAACACGATTGTAAAATATACCTTGCAATGTCTCCGCTCTATTTCCGGCAGTAGCATGTCTTTAGAACTAGGTTGACAAGGTTTTTTCGGGAAAGTGCATTATGCTTTTTGCACCAAACATTATCAAATCGCCTTGGAATCTTCATGGTGACTAAGAATACATCTCTTTGACTTAATGTCTATCATGATCAAATTTAAATTGGAACCACGGGATTACAGGACGCTTTAAAAAGATTAGATTGACCGGTATATAGAATGACCTAGAATTTTAAGCATCACATTTTCGCCTGCTTTTTGAGCCTTTTGGTTCGGCAATCAACAGGAACTTGCTCTCGTACACTGGCACTTCCTAAAGAAAATGCTAACAAATTCATGAGCGGCGATTTGCAGTATACACAACTAACGGGCCTCCCTCTGGCCTACGTGGTGCAACAGCTGCGATTTAAAAAAAAATTCTACACTTTATCTCACAAACAATCGATTCTCATTAGAAAAGCATGTAATTGTTACTCGACACGACATTCTATTTGCGTCATAAAATTCTCTTTGCTATTGATTTCATCAGAAAATCGTAAAATTATATTCCTTTTTCATTCATTTCAGGGGGAATGTAGGGATAAGCGTTTTATGGTAACATTGTTTCTGTGGATAAAGTTGACACCGCACCAATAAAATGGGACATTGCATAAATGAAGGAAGTTCTGAAGAGTATATAAGCCATGGTTTGAACTGAGCACGATGGCATGGTGACGATGATGATCATGATGATGATGATGGATCATGATTTGAGAGGATGAGAAGACTTGTAATGAAAATCAATGATGCAGTGATATGGCGGTTGATGGAAATCACGAGGCGAGAACACTAGAAATAGGAACAAAGTGGTGCTTCACAGCTCACCTCGTTGTCTGGGTCTATAGCAACGATAGTCCCAACAAAGGCTCCTGGGTGTTGGTTTTCCGGTACAGTCTTTGATGAGATGTTGAAAGTTGGCCGTTCATTTATGTTCTGAACATTGATGATAAATGTTTTGGTTATGTTGTAGGGATTCACATGGTCCTCTTTGCAGGTTACCTAAAACGAAACAAACTCAAATTTAAGCTTGGAAGAGAGAAGAGAGCTGTAATTCATACTTTGAACAATACTAATAAAACGGATGGGAGAAGCGTGTATATGAAATAGTCTAGCATATGCTTCACTAGCGAAAGCATTCAGAAATTCAAAATTGAAGAGCTGTAGAAATGCATTCATGTACGTGGTTACTGGTTTAGCCTAAAGTTCGTGGTTAAGTTAGGGAAGAGGTGCATAAATTTTTTTAATACGATAATCTTTGGTGGTGTACCATATAAATTGTAAATTCACTTTGTGGATTAACAAAATAGCCAGCAAAGAAAACCACTTTGAAAAACCTATTCTTCAAGAAGACATCCTGTCACGGACTGCTTCAGTAACGTGTAAGCAAGTAGCCTCTCAGTTGAGTTAAAAAAATGTTTTGTTCTAAATACTATTAGACTTTGGATACACATAGTAGCTGTAATTGTTGCAGATTGTACTATGATATATTTCAACGTTGCCCTCTTTGTTTTCAACAACAGATTACAATTAGGATAAGGTCCTTTCCAACTATGCTGAAGGGCAACTCTCGTTCAACATGAAAATGAATGAAAACAGGTGTTTACAGTATCATTTGCTTTCTATGAAATCATGACAAACCTGAAGTGAAAAGGTCTGTTGTCTCTCGTAATTCACAGCACCAGAGACGATCAGCATAATCTTGTTAGCAATCTACAAGAAATTCAAGAATTGCAAAGGTTTGTCTTCCCATAATACGCAAGGTACACATCGTTATCTTCAACCACGCTGAGAATATTAATTGTTTCGCTCCGGACTTCTAATAAGCATTTCTCACTTTTGTAATGGCGTTTGATGAAGCAAATTGCAATGCACTTTTCTTGTCCTGCTTTGAAATCTAGCAAATAGCAGTGTTGAATAGGCACAAAATATTCTGGAGCGTAGGGCACTTAGTAGACAGTTCAAATAGCAAATATAAGCAGGAGGCAAAATGGAGCTTGCAACAATTTTGCATAAATTTCTGGAACTGTTAGTCAAGGAAAGGTTTTGTTTTTAATCGAAGCACTACATTCAGACACTGTCAAGTTTCATTTCAACTTTTGTATGTTTCTAAATGAGCAAAATAAAGTTCCCGTTTGTATGGTATATATTTAGAAAAACCTGTCTACGATTCAATAGAAAACAATATATCTAGGATACTATAAAACCGAGCATCTTTAGGATGTAGTTATACAGAAAATTATTGTCGGAGTGAATTTGTTGTACTATCACGATTTTCTGCCAAGAAACTTTGAGTAGTTTATTATCATGTAAATCAAAAAATTGCCAACCCTGAGAATTCTCTTAAGCAAAATATGTGTCTGCTATGCTGAGAGGGTTCTAGACAGAGCTATTCGCATATCTTCCATTGACACGTTAATGAATCATTTTGGTTCTGTGCTTCACGTTTAATGCTTATCCACAACGCAATACTCATGCACGACGCAATGCTTATTCCAAACGCAATGCTTATTCACGAGACCACGACGCAATGCTCACCCACAACGCTCATTCACAGTCTTCTTTGAAGACCAGAAACAAACACAAAATCAACTTGATTTTGCAAATTTCTTTAGTTATTCCTAAGGGTGCCAACTCTGAATCTACGATGATTTCAAGCAGACCTTTTCTCTACGTCAACTCGTCTTTGGTTCGTATCAGCACAGTTTCGACATGATCGCACGCAAATATGAAACAGGCCCCAGTATCTTAAGGAGCCAAAAGGTATTTTACATCTCTTTAAAGACTCATTGCTAACAGTGAGCCATTGCGCTACGCAAGCATCCCATAATGCACTTTTAGACAGTCTGAAATCAATTTCAGATTAGGAAACTGAGGACGAGGAAGATGAGACAGAGCACAAAAACGATATTATCAGCGTAGTGAGTAGTTGCTTAGCAACTGCAACAGTAAAAACGTGCTGAAGTGCGCATATTTCGTTGCGCACATTACAAGCCTTCGAACCTGAGCATGCTATAGTGACAGGCTTGTATGAATATCAACAGATAGAGCCTTAAGCTACTCTTACCGTGAAGGGAATATCAGTGTTTGCTGTCCTATTCAGAACACAGGAAAACGTCTGCTTAGGACCAAATTTGTTATCAGGATCTACGACTGTCAAATTGCCGACGACTGTGTTCTGTGGTGAGTTCTCAACAACCTAGAATTCAAATATATTCATGTTAATTGACCTGACAGCTGTCTGTTTCCATCAAGGTTGCTTTTTTCTGATGACTTACTTCTCGTGATATGAAGTACGGTCAAAACGACCTACTTTGCATGGGTAGGGTCAAATAAATAGTAAATGATGATGAAATAGAGAAAAGGCCATATTTTCCTTTCTACGTAATATACTACTAACTGCACTGAGGCAGAGCATAGAATACAAAGTAGGTCTCAATACTCATATACGCAAGCCTTCAATTCCCATTAGAGAATTACTCAGTAACAACTTCTCATTCTTAACATATTCAACAAAACCTTCCCATTAGTTGAATGGTCCTAAACCCTATTCTCCCTTTTAATACCCCCTTTTAACTTATTTAAACCCCCTTCTTTTTTGAAATGTTCTCAATTCTTCTCTCCCTTTGAAATGCTCAACTTAGAAAAGAGAAACTATCTGAGAGAGCAATCTCTCTCAAAGTAGGGTCTGGGCTTTACTCTGCTCGGCTGTGATGCTCCCTCAAAGCAACTGTAAATGACCAGTAGGAAATACATTCATGTCACCGCAGCACACATTTAGATGCTTAAAAAATTAATAATGGATCCCTGTGATCCGATTAATGGCTCTTCATCACTAGCGCACTGGGATTTCATAAAGTTACATTGTCCACCAGGATAAAAAGCTCATCGGTTCTTCATTACAATCATATCGAAGTTTTTCTTACAAACACTGTCAATAGAGCATTATAGCCACGTGGAAAAGATGGTCAAGCTGCTACTTAAAAAGAATTTTACTCAATCGGTTCCGAAACTGTGAAATCTCATCATCACTCACAGGATTTCACCCAACCCGAAGCAGAGGTTCGTTGAATTAAAGAGCATTTCAAACAGCCATATGGGCCTGATTAGCGCTGGAAAGCAGATCTTTTTCATTAAAACATTCTTTTAATAAAAGATAAGCGCAATCGTTTCAATCTCTTTAAAAACAACGGGCCTATACGTCTGAAAGGAGAGAAAGGCCTTATTTTTGTAAAATGCCCTGAGTCTCTTCCCTATATTTAAATCGAAACTCTTGAAAGTGGGATCGACAAACGACTCCAATAAATGTAAAACCGACACTTTTATCAAAAGTAGCAACAAAATTAAAACTGTTATAAATTTGTTGTTTATTTCACCATGTTAAGGAAGACTTTCGCCCTTGATTATAGTATAAAATACCGTGCTACTTGATATGTAACCTGGCGGCATATATGCAAATGTCTGGCTTGTTAGCCAGTGGAACCCAAAATTGTTATTGCTAGGTTAGAGCACCAAGCACTTACCATTTGTCTACCACTCAAAATAATGTCTGTAGGAGGATGATTGACGTCACGCACACGGATCGTTACGGTGCTGGAGATGCTTAACGGGGGAATCCCGTTATCTGTTGCAAGCACCGAGATGTTTATAGCTTTGAATTCTTCATAGTCTATCGTTGATGATACTGATGATATTCTCCCTGATGAAGACTCAATTGTGAAGTAACCAGGTAGTTGCCTAGAAAAATTAAATATCAAGCTTTACAATTTTTTAACCGTAAAGATCGAAGTAACAGAGACATCGATTCATAGACGTTGATGTGTAATGGCTAAGGGACTGGCAAAGATAGGGCTTTGGGATAGGTTTGAGTTTTCTCTTAGAAAGCTAAGGCAAAGTCTATTTATCAGTATTTAACGCTTATATTTGCGTACCGTTATGATATGTGACTTGATTTTTGGGAAACAATTTGTGAAGAAAAATTATTTTATTTTCTTACTGGAGAAATCGATTCTGAAGAGGCACCGATTATTTAGCTTCTCCAGTTGTACATAGATGTCAGGATGAACTGAGAGCTGAATCTAGGCCTACACAGTCTTTACAAGTACGATGGTGATGAGTGAAGGAAGGGTGTACCCAAAAAGATGGCTTGCATTACCCTGGCTGGCCCTTTAAAGTTATACTAAAAACCCTTTCGTTATACATCCAACAAAAATGATACTGTTGTTAAATGCGAACAAGAAGATGTTTCTTACATCACAGTTTGGGCGCCATAGCCAACGATTCCTGTAATAGAGTAGGTATGCGTCTGATAGAAGTCCTCATCAACAGCTGATGCCGTTGCAACAAGCACGCCTGGCGCCGAATTCTCTTCAAGTGTAAGAGATCCAGTGAAAAGGACAGACGATGGGCGGTCATTTCGATCCTGAACGTGGATGGTGAAGTTTTCAACAACGCTCAAACCTTGAAAATAATAAAATTTATTGGTTTAACTATGGCAAAGATTGTTAATTTTTCAATGATTGAAACCTCGTCAACACGTAGAGAATCAAAAAAGGCAGAAAAATTACAATTGGAAAAGTGCGTTTCAAATTTAACTCTAAACTCACTTCCTTGATCGATTGCTTTCACGGATATTGTGTACACATTTTGCTGTTCGTAGTTCAGCGGCCGAGTTGTTTGCAGAGAGTTTCCAATAATTTTCAGAGGCACTCCCCTGTTCATGATAGCGAAGGTAAATGTCTGTGGCGTGGTATCTTCGTCAGTAACAACGAGCCTTCCGATCGTCACTGGCCCGACATTTTCAGCCACTGACCCAGCAGAGAGGATAATGCTTGTTGGTGCCTCGTTAACGTCCAATATCCTAACAGTAACATCTTTCTCTATGCTTTTGCTCGGAATTCCGTTGTCGTCACATCGCAGTCTCATACTATAGCTATGAAGATGAAGAGAGTATTGGTGACAAAAATGCACTCCTTCAAATTATAGATATAAACAATAGCTCCTCGAGCGATATGATTTAACCAGAATAATTGGGGAAAAATGCCAGACAGGATTTCCTCGAACAAAGTACAACAACAGTGTGATTGTCATTGCTAAGTTGTCCAGAGACAAAACCACAGCAAATTTCTCTTTTATAGTTTATTTTACGCAAGAAAATGGCAAATTTAGCAATCGTGGTCTACCAAAAATATTTGGATGTAAGTGGGGTAGAGATAACAGAAATGGTGCAGAAATGGTGCAGAAGGGGTGCAGAAGGGGTGCAGAAGGGGTGCAAGTTACAAAGGATTGGAGATGAAAATAAAAGAGAAAATAAGATTGAAAAAGTGCTAGGATGAGGAATAAATATGATGTGATTAAGTGAAAAGCGCATCCAGTGGCAAAATGAGCCAAGAAAATGAAAAAGACAGCAGAGAGTAACTAACCTTGCTTTCCTTTCGTAATTCAATGTCGCTCTTTTAACGACCAATTTCACACCATCTTTTACCTCAAATGAGGCTGACGTATCAACGATTACCCGGCACATTGCCTTTTGTCTTCCACTGAATTTTCCCTCGTTGTCTGGGTCATTAACAGAGATGTTGCCCACCAAAGTACCAACCGGACTATTTTCGTTTACGGATAAACTTGAAAGGCTTAATGAAGTTGGTGCTTCGTTTATGTCAAGAACCTTTTAAAAGAAACAGAAAGAAATCACTGTCTTTAGGCTACGTTTTTTTAAGCAGGCACACTACAGGCTTTGACTCCAATAGTCACATTCAGATAAGTATCGTTCAGTAAAGAAATTCATCTGTAAGTAGAAAAAGAAAGTTAAAAGCAACCTGACTTACCTTAACAGTTAGATTTCTCTGGTAAGACATTGGAGGGTTTCCGTTATCAGTTGATTCAATTCCAATTGTATACGAGTTCTTGGCTTCATAGTTGAGAGATGCGTGTGGTGCGGTGTACAGCTTTCCCCCACTTATGACGAAAGGCACACTGCCATCATTTAGTATTCGATAACTAGAAAAATCATAGAAAATCACAAATGCTTCCCATCAAACGGGTCATTTTGATGAGAGTTGCCAACATTTTCAGATGAATACTTGTTCAGTCTGCCCAAAGTCGTTGCGCTGTTTGTAAACTCTCGTGATACAAGCTGAATTTTTGTGTTCTATTCGTGTATTTGTTACAGTGGTTGCTTTGCACATCTTTGCATATTCTTATATTAGGCTTATTTTTTAAATAAAAATTCTCCAAAAGCTATGCCATTACCCGCATAGAATATACAATAATAATGCGATGTAAATAAAACATGCATTCTATACATGAATTGATTAGGGACCTGGAAGAAATCACCCGAAAAATAAAATTTTGGGGTTTGCCCTACTCCTTTATTTGTCAAAACTCAGTTCCACTCATTTCGTAAGACTGACAGGCCAAAGGAAACTACGTAAAGCATAATGTTTTTGCATAGATAACATTTAATATTTTGCTGTTCGTTTTGACATTCAAATTTGGACATTAACAAGAAATGGGTCTTTTTAAATCTATGATACGATAGAAAGGTTTCCCAACTAAACGTACTGTCTTCAAATTATCTATTTAGAGGCAATGATTTCAAAAACGAAATCCCCCCCCTCCCCAAATGCATATGCTGGATAAAAGCATAAATGGATTGCATCTACCACGAATGAAACAACATAACCCATTGAACAATATAAAACCAGTCATTGAAATCAACTAGCCAATCAAGCCAGCCATCCAAAGCAATCAATCACCCAAATAACCAAAACATCTATCAATTTAATCAACCAATCACTAAACACCACAGATTAGTTCGCTATGATCAGCAAAACCAGCCAGCCTACCGTTGGTGAGTTCTAACTTAAATTGAACTATGCAAAATCAAACAGATTGATGACTTACCTGTAGCTCTGACCAATGTCCTCATCAATGGTCTCGAAAGTTGCGATCAGCTGATTGTCTTCATTTTCGTTAACATATCCAGTATGAAGCCCATTCAACCATATATCACTTGGCCTATCATTCTGATCCCTCACTACAACGGAGAAGAGCTGCGAATGATGCAACCCTTTGTTGTCCTCTACTCTTACTATGATCGTCTTTGTGCTGTCTTCTTCATAGTTGATAGCACCAGCCACTTTTATAAGAGCTGTACACACTGTATGTAATGTCTTTTCACTATCACTGGAGTTAGAGCAAGAAGCCGTATTGTCTACTGAAAACGTTCCATTGCCGTCATCGTCAAGGGAAAACCTCAGACTTTCAACCGCATCTTCATCGTAAGCATGTAAAGTACCAACAATCGTGCCTACAGCTGTGTTTTCGTTTACGCGAGGTAAATTTTTGGGGAAGGAAATCTGGCCTCTGTCTGAGGTGATTTCAATCTTTGTAGGAGCTTCATTTACATCTTGCACAACAATGACAAAATCTTTGGAAATCTACAAGTTAAAAGAAGTAAGTAATATCTGGTCCAGTCAACACAAGAAAAGGCGGAAAGCTCATTAGGCGTCGTAGTATTCTAACTAACGGATAAGAACACCTAAAAACCACTCGCTGTCTAAATAATACCATTTCATCAATACCAGGGCATGTTGGTAGACAGAAATTTCTTATGGCATGAAACAAAACTTTTTTGCTTAAATGTTTACTTGCAAATTTGGAGATAAAGCATCCCCCTTCTTTTGCGCATGATTCAGATGCTGCTATTGGCATACCTTTGTATCTTGCAAATTACGATTTCTGTTACACCAAAACTGTATAAAATATTCTGCATTATTTCACGGTAATCGTGAAACAACAGTTCATACAACCAAATTTGTTCATGATTACACCGTTAAGACCCCAAATCCCCAAAAAATGTCGAAAGAGACAAACTTAAATACTGAATCTAAATCTCCTTTTTCACTTGCACAAATTTCCTCCATATTGCTCTTCTAATAAAAACAAGGAATAACTTACTGTCAGAACTGGGTTTCCATGGTCACTTGCTTCAACCGTTATTTTGTGTGTCTTTGCGTTCTCATAATTAGTGTCCTTCGCTTTGACAACAAAACCGTCACCGGAAAGTGCAAACCTTCCGTTGTCATCATTTGTCAATCTGAATGTAATATTCTGTCCATCTTCGTCATTCGCCGTCAGACTACCAATTTGGAAACCTTTGGTGGCATTCTCAGGAAGATAATTGGCTGAGAGTTGAATATCACGTGGCCTATCGTTGATGTCTCTAATGGAAAAAGTGAGCGTTTTTTCAAAGCCTAGATTCGGGGTGCCGTTGTCTTCGGTTTTCACTCTAATATCAACGCTCTGCTGTTTCTCGAAGTTGATACGGCAGAAGTTACCTCCGTATGCAAGGCAATTCCTGTTGTCTACTGCTACCTTTAGCTGGTTGTTGTGGATACGGAACAAGCCCCCTGCGTTATCGACCAAGCTGTATGTGAATGATTGCCCATTGTCAGGATCATGTGATGACAAAGACCCAACGACCGTTCCGAGAGGGCAGTTCTCATCCACAATGGATTGATCAAGTATAATGTCGTATGGCTGCTCATTTACGTCTATAAAAAAGGCAACAATTACAAGTACTAAGAAAATGGCAAAATACTTAAAAGATCGAAGTTTGTTCCACACATAGTTCCACCACACACAAGCACTAAATTAATAGATGGCAAGAAGTAAAGAGCAAGATTATTGATTGCAAACAAAGTGAATTCTATGACGTAATTGATAACATACCGGTTATATTGATTACAAAGTCCTGATCGACGAACAATGGTGGGGTTCCATCATCCACCGAGCGTATCTTCAGCATCCAAGAGGTCTGGTTTTCATAATCAAGGGATCTGCTTGTTTGTAGAATATTTCCAGATATCTCGAAGGGTAAATCAGAGTCACTGTTTGTAATTGAGTAGGTGAATGACTGTACATCAGATGATTCAGGATTTGTATTGTCTGGGTCGATTGTTGAGAGCATTGCTGCAAGAAATTGGGAACTCTTAAAGGTCTTCAAAATCTCAGTGTATTTAGGCAAAAACTGCACATAAAAATCGAAAGGGGTCTCAGTGGACGTTTGATGGTGTGCGTAGAAAGCCTGTGCGCAGAGATCGTGTGCGCAGAGACAAGGTTCATAGCAATACTTCATACTTTGCGATGTTCAATAAGTAAATATTGACATACCTATACCTCCAGGCGGCGTATTCTCAGGAATGACGTTACTGGATAACAGGATATTTGATGGTTTCTCGTTCACATCTTGAACTTGGATAACGAGCGACTTCTCCAAAAATTGCTTAGGGCTGCCTGAATCTTCGCATCTGATGCTTATGTTCATGTAACTTGTCTGCAAGAAATATTTTGTAATTTATGGATAAGGGATCCTCAAATCATCAGTAGAGTACACCGTAACTACGTCATGTATTGTAGCAGACAACTAAGATTACCTACAGAGGTATCAGCAACTTTTTACATATAATAAAACGGTTTCAATTAAGATCCTTAAGTGTAGGGATTCACGAGTTGGGGTAACTTAAGCATATAAATGTATCTAATATACAAAGATAGTGCTCTTATTTCATTTGATAGACACAAAAAGGCAAAAACATGTCTGATTTTTGGGTAAGCGACATCTGGTAGCTAGTAGGTTCCAGGTTTACCACTACGGGCGCGACACATACAAAGCCCAGCGAAAAGAAGCTGTGTTATGCAATCGAATTTTTATGTAACGAGACAAACACTGTTTTCCAAGTGTAGAGTATATTACTACAAGGTTGTTTGTGAAAAAGCGTCCTGGTACCTTTTCGTAATCGATCCCGTTATGGGCTACAACAAGCTGCATTCCTGCAATCGTAAGGAAACCAGATGCTCCGGAAGCAATAGCACATGAATGACTTTGCCAAGCACCTCGCGCTCCTTCGTTGTCTGGATCTGAGACTGATATATTACCGATGCCAGTGCCAACTGGGGAATTCTCGTCCACGGTTGCTTTATCCAGTACTATATCAGTAGGAGCCTCATTTACGTCTTGTACTCGCAGCTCGAATGTTCCATTGAAGCTCATTGGAGGCTGCCCTGAATCAACAGTGCCCAGTGTTATCATGTGAGAACTCTTATCTTCGTAGTTAAACCCATTGCCACGTGAAAGAAATAGGTACGTCTTATATATAGCATACATTTGTGAATTGTTGCCATAAACTGTGTACGTGTGAGTTTGCGAGCGATCTTCATCGATTGTTGTCATTTCGTCAACCATAGTTCCTGGTTGGTTCTCGGGAACAATAGCGTAGCTTAATCCACCAATCAGAATGCCAGTTGGTGCGTCATTTTTGTCAACAACCTTCACAGTGAACTGCTGCACGTGGAAAAGTCCCTCCATATCAATGGTTCGAATTATTATGTTGTAAACTGACTGAACTTCAAAATTCACATTTTTGTTTAAGAGGAGCTTTATCGAGCACATTGATCTTGCTCCGACCATTCCGGTTGTATTGCTGCATAAAATGTTTTTATCAAGGCTGAATGTACCAGCACCGTTGTCATCCAACACAAACCTTAGATTCTCTACAGGCTCACTATCATATGAAAAGATTGTTCCAATAACTGTGCCAATGGAAGAGTTTTCTTCTACTTCCGGATTGTCGTCCGGGAACTTCAATTCCCCGCCGTCATTTTTAATAGTAGATTTAATTGGTGCTTCATTCACATCAAGTACTTCTATCTGGAAACTCGCCACAATCTGCAAAGGATCAATCATTGTTAATTGATTAGCAGAGTTTGAAAGTAAAATAATACATTTGACCCACAACCTTGAACTAGAAATCGAGGTAATAAAGTTAGAATGAGGGAAGCCTACGGAGAAAACCTGTTTAAAAACTGCCAATGATAATAAGGCGGAAATGCTTGCAGAATTGTATATTCCAGTACCTTTGTGAAGAATCAAGACAATAGAAGATATCCAGAACAATAGCATCGCCAAAATAAAACAAATTTTTACAGACAACAGTGACCCGTACAGATAAATAAGTTATAATTCAAATAAGCCCGAGCATACCTCAAGCGGTGGACTTCCATTGTCCCTCATTGTAACTGTAATGCTGTGTGTTTTGTTTGTTTCGAAATTCGTTTCATTCGTAGCCTTGTACAAATAGCAGTTACTATCGACACCAAATCTTCCACCATCGTTTTCCACCAGCAGGCAATTCAAAATTTGCCCTGTAAGAAACGTATAATACCAAACCTATTAGCTGAAAGATGTCATGTGCATAAAAAGCTCATCCTAACTCAATCTCAGAAGAAGATCTGCGAGCAAACGCTCTGCTCGATATGGCGAAATATCAACCTTGGTGTTTTCTGAAAAAATCTCTTGATGAGATTTTCGACAGACTGGGCGGGCGATGTGCATGAATTAAATAGATGTGAAGCTGGTCGTCAAGAAGAACTAAAACAACTACACCACCGTTTCAATTCCACTTTGTTTCGCTTTGGCTGGTTCCATAACAGATCCAATACAGATAAAGGAGTAGAAGACCTTGCTGATTCAATTATTTCGAAACAGTGGTCTTCATTTGTTTTAGAGCACTGTATGTTGACAAGTAAATGTGACGCATCCATAGATAAACATTACCATGAGTACATCAAAATATATTGTGGATATTACCATTTTAGGATCATACAGAAAAATTCGAAACTAACTGCTATATTTCTACAAAGAGACACATGCAATTGGAACATACCCTTGTCTTCATCCGAAGCAGTGAACCGTCCGATAACATAACTCACTGGAGCAGTCTCCGGTACAGTGTAATTAGATAACCGTATGTCACGAGGCTTGTCATTGACATTTCTTAGAAATATAGTTATATTCTTGGTAAAGGACAAGGAAGGCATCCCATTGTCAATTGTTGTGACTTGAATTGTATGACTTGCTTGCTCTTCGAAATTCAAACGACAAAAGGTTTTGCCATACTTCAGACATTCTGCATTTGAGACAGCGACCTAGAAAAAAATGCTCTTTGAAAAAAAAAACAGAAAAATTTGTAATAGTAATTGATACTGATGAGTTTTACAACTGACCGAAGCTCGATGTTAATATGCGAACTTAAAGTGGGGGTGAAATATTGACTATACATACAAGCTACCCAAAACGTGGTTAGTGGTTTGTCTCAACAGCAGTGTACAAGATTTTATGGAAAAACGTTTTAAGTTTAGAAAAAAAAAGACATTTCCAGGCAACGAATCTGAGAGAAATATTTTCAAATTTGGAAAGTAATTAATAAACTTGATGTTTGGAATAGTGTAGACGAGTAATTTATGCGAAATAACACTATGAAACGTGGTTATTGAAGTGATTTGGCCTACCTTGACAGAATCTCCTTCTATTTTGAACCTCCCATCTGCACTGTCCGCCAAACTGTAGGTAAAACGCTGATTTAGATCTTCATCTGAGGTGGTCAGGGCACCAACTACCGTGTTCTCAGCACAGTTTTCCGGTACAGTGTCACTTGATATCTAGTGGTTTTTAAAATATATACATATCAGAATGCGTCTTTAAAATAACTTTAAATCAAGCCTTCAATAGAAAAGAAAATTTGCATTTATGTGTTTAAACAGATTGGGTATTACCAAAGACAATCCGTTGTTGTGAACTATTCAAACATTTTAGTTGTCCAGCCCATGAGATTTCACAACTTTTTCAGTTTGTAGGCAACAATCTTATTTCGAATAGCCACATATCTATGTTTGGGTAAACCACTGAAAAATACATGGTGTTTTCAATAAACTTACTGAAATGTCCTTTGGTGCATCATTTTCATCTGTCACCTCTATACGGAAATTCTGAGCCTTGGTTAGTGCTGGATCACCGTTGTCTGTTGCCATTACTTGCACAATTAAGACTGGATCTGTCTCGAAGTCAAACGGTATTGTGCTGAATAACTGATTGGTAGTTATTTGGAAACGTGAATCGTTGCTAGGAACACTGTATATAAACGTCTGGCGCTCGGAGACAAGATTATCCGGGTCAATCGTTGAGAAAGTGCCAATGAGTTTATTATTCTGAGCATTTTCAGGGACTTTGTTTCTTGACAGTCTAATCACCGATGGTGGTTCATTTATATCATTGATGTTGATAGGGAAGCTCTTGGAAACTGACAGCTTCCCATCCGAGCATTCAATAGTAATCATATGAACAGAATGTCGCTCAAAATTAAGTTCACCTGAACCGACAGCTAGATACAACTGATTCACTACCTTGAACCTACCACCAGCACTATCGAGCAGCCTACACGAATGATAACTTCTCGGCACGGCCAGTAACGCGTCGTCCGGGTCGGTAACAGTTATATTCGCCACAGCCGTTTCTTCGGGCGAATTCTCGTCAACGAAACTACCCGACAGCTGTATATCGGTGGGTTCCTCGTTAACATTCGTTACTCTTAAATCGACTTTCAACTGCACTGATGCGGCTGGTATACCATCATCTGTTACATTCACAGTCACCGTGTACAGTCGTTTGTTTTCATAGTCAAAGGAGAAATTCGATGCAAGTTTTAGCATATCGTCTTCCAACACAAATGCACCATCGTTGTTTTCAATCAAAGAAAACTGGTGTGTCTGATTGTGATCTTCGTCGACTGCAAATAGCTTCCCGACCACTGCACCAGGACTGTTTTCACGTACGTCTTCATATCCTTTACCATTTATCAACAACTCTGACGGCGGGTCGTTGGTATCTTCAACGACGATGCTGAAGGTTCTGCGTTTAGAATATAAAAAAAAAGATTACTAGAAAATATGATTAAAATTATACATGCATCAATAGAGTACAATGGAAACTAAAACTCTTGCAGAATAAGTCTCTTGCAACTCGAAAAGCTTACTGAAATGTCTTGATTGATGCATTACCGCATCTCAATTTAAATGAACGACTCAAATACTTGCCTGTGAATAAAATGTCCTCGATCTTCCGCTCGCATTGTTACTTTGTGCGATTTTGACTGTTCAAAATTCAAACTACCACTGACTATCAAATCGGCACTACAAACTGTTTTTGCATCATCCAAAGACACATTTTTACAGGTCTGACGATCAGCAATTTTAAACCTTCCACCAGCATTATCATCCAAAATGAGGTTAAGGCCAGTGGTAAAGTCGCTGTCGTAGGCCTCGAAAGTTCCAACAACAGTACCGACAGGTGAATTTTCTGGCACTGATGGTTTAAGTGGGCTAATAGTTATGTTTACTGGAGGCTCATTGATATCAATAACAATAATTGTCAATTTTTGAGTATTCTGTAAAAGAGAAAAGATAAATGGTTGCTTACAACTCAATCCAACAAAAATTTCGAGTTGTCATTTAAACAAGCATCTTTTAAAAAGGACTAGGACTAAGCAAAGATGCAAAAAACTGATGAATAATTGTCAATGTTGAAAACATAACAATCGACAAATTTCAAAATGATCTTCTGTTTAACTTTTCTAGCAATGGAAATATTTTGTCAAAATGTTTTGAGGCGAATGAGTTTCGTTTCATTTACAAGTGTCTTTTCATGATGTATCTGAGACAAGAATTACGGGTATCAATGTTAAGGACTGAGGAAGAGATCACGAACTTCGAAAGAAAAACAAATTATAGGATCACAGCAAGAAATATTGGAATGAGCAGCAATAAACACTCACAAAAATGATAAAAATAGGCTATTGGCCTTAGGGCTGCCGGATTGGCCTTTTTCAGACCAAATTTCCCAATTTTGGCCCTTTTTAGAGTAAAATTGCCTGGAAAATTTATTTTTCGTCTACTACTTCAATCTGACCGTTTTTAGCATTTTGAGGTCATTCATTTGTTTTATTTAAACTTGAACACCCTAAGTAGCAAACAAATTATGAATTGAAAGAGCACAACTGCACAGTGTAAACTCAAATTTCAAATATAATCAGTTAATCTAACGATCAGCAAAGGAATTGATTTGAAGGAGAAAGCTTCTCAGTTTCTTTCTCGAGCTTGGAAATTATCTAAAAGGCTCATTTATGGGAATATATACTTCACTGTGCGCAGTGTATTTTTTTGGGAATTTTCAAATTGGCCTTTCTATATGCATTTTGGCCAGAGACAGTGTCACCTGTCTGGCCTTCTTTTGTAAATCCCATCTGGCAACCCCGATTTGCCTTCGAAAATATTCGCCCGTATTTATTAGGGCCTTTCAATTTGTTTTTCCACTTTTCCATAAAAAAATAGCAACTGAAAAAAGGGACTTGCCGATGCTGGAGGTGATCCATTGTCCGTAGCTCTGACCTCAATCACATGAGATTTGTCAGTCTCGTAATCAATATCTTTTGATTTGACTACGCTTCCATTACTCGTCAATGCAAATTTTCCTCCATCGTCATTAACGAGGGCAAAGCGCATTGACCCTGCTTGACCCGCATCTTCATCGCTGGCAATTAACTGCCCGACAACAGTGCCATGAGGGTCATTCTCTTTGACTGTATTCTTGGAAATTCTTATATCATACGGCGGATCATTTCTGTTCGTTACAGTTATATTAAACATTCGCGTGATGTTAAATGAGGGTGTTCTATCGTCTGCACTCTCAACTTCAATCTGGTATTGCTTCGTACTCTCATAGTTCAGTGGGCACTTTGGGCTACCTGAAGCAAGGCAGTTTCCATTTGACCTGGCCACCTGAAATTGAAACTTCAGTGTTAGAAGGTTAATCAATAACTGGAGAGCAAAAGAAACTCGACTATTCATTAACTTGGCAGCAGGAATTTGGCTGAAATACCTAAGAGTGGCTTTCACCTTAGGGACAAACATAACCATTTCTTTATTTCTACAGACCAAAGGCAGAGACAATCTAGTAACCATTTGCTCAAACGGTGGAATTTGGTTGTATGTTGACTATGAGAGTCAGGTAATCTGCTTGGGATAACTGAACAAGCTGCATGTTCTCTTTCCACAAGACTCAAAGGAAGCTGCCAATTTTTTGCCCTCTTACTGTATTATTATTAATTCTTGCAATTAGTAACTTATGAAGGCAGCTTCTATAACGAGCTCGTTGTCCACAAAGAGCATCTGTATTCACTGCCAACTCAGCGTTACCACAAAACGGGATTTTTACAAATTAAAAGGCTTGGAATATTAACAGTAAGACGACATTTATTACAAAAGACGCAAAAAGCCAACTTTGGCTGCGAGCAGTCCATCATTTACTCTAATTTTCCGTAGGCATTTTACGTAGGGGTATGCTCGGTCCCTTGAACATCACGGAACCCATCTTAACGTCACTTTACTACGACACAACAACCAAGGCTGATAAGCTACCTCAAGTGTGTTGTTTTGAACCCTGAACATTCCATTCGCCGAGTCAACGAGCTTGTAAACATTTCTCTGTCCTACATCTGCATCGAGAGTATCAAGTACACCAACAACAGACCCCGCGTCACTGTTTTCTGCAATCTGCGTGCTGGAAATCTAACAAAAAACAACGTACGTATTTTTAATTGTATGCAGGATTCATAGATTAGACATTCTTAGTAATATGGCATATAATGCCTACTGAAGATAACAGCAATTAATTGAAAAGCGCATACTTTAAAGTGAAATTTAGGTCAAGATTATTCTAATGCACATGCTCAGCTTATTCGACTGCCTCGGTTGAGAATAGATACCTCCAATGCGAGGCTCTCTTTTTAAAATGTATTTAAGCATTAGCACTCATAGAAATATGAGGCCCGGCAAACAAAAACGTAAGCTGAAAATGTAAACAAAAATGGGAAAACTTAATATACAAAATGATGTGGCTAAACTTTTGCAAAAGATAACAATGTTAAATATGAAATAATGCATAATCATAACAAAGGTATAACTTTGATAATAAAAAAGGTTTATTTCTACCAACTTATAAAAAAGTTTTAGCAACTGAGATGATACGAGATGATTTTTTTCCATAAGTGAAATCTTTAGGATTTATTCAAGATTGTTTTGAATACCCAAAGAAATTTATGTTGCGGGCTGACCAAAAGAGACAAGTAAAGTCTTAAGTTCGCCTCCTTTAGAGTTTATCTTTTTATCGAATAATTTTGATTTTTTTATAAATCAACATTGATTTGGTTGGATTCGGTTCCACTGAAAGTCTATCATTGATGATCATGTCTGCAGATTATAGCAAACTAACAAACTATAAAGAGATAAAAACTATAAAGAGACAAAACGCGAAAGGTATGGTCTCTGGTTTCTTTGGAATATAACAAAATGCATATGGCAAAGTCCAGAGAGGTTTTTACCCTAGTGTCGGGCAATACCCTCGTGCTGTAAAAACTTTCCTCGCAAAAACAAAGAAAACAAGGCAGGATTAGGAAATGGGACTTTAGTTTACTGGGCTCTTGGTCCCGGGTGTATGTTGAACCTGGAACGATTTTCCGAGGGCGTTCACATTGAACATGGTTTTGGTTGAAAGCGATCCCACAGGAGTACAGACAGCATACCCGGTGGGGATCTACACTAGTCTGAGAAAAGATCATTTTAGACCAACTTGTAAATCCATTTCTTGTAAATCAAAATACATGTACTTACAAGAATATCACTTGGAGGCTCGTTCACATCAGCAACGTTGACTGTAATATATTTGGTGAAGGACAGAGGTGGATTCCCGTTGTCAGTACTCGTTATTCCAATGGAGTAGCTACAAAGGAAAATTATTTCCAATATGAAAGTACCAGGCTGATGAAATGGTGCTAATTGCTATTAGAAACGCACAATGTAAGCCTTTTAGCCCTAACCGTAGGTTAATTTGAAGAGAATTTGAACCCTTTCGGTAGTAACACAGAAGAATTATTGTCTCAAGGAGTTTGCGAGGCGGACAATTCACATCGAAAAATTCTTTGAAAATAACAAATTCAAAAAAGCTGTCCTTCATCTTTGGCTGGCATTTTCTGGTAGTCCAAAAGTTGGCAAATAGACAAAATTATCTTGCTTCAATTTCTCTTGATATCTAATACAGTTAAAGAAAGTGAGAGAACAGCAACAAACATTTCAGAGGCGATAAATACAGTAAATCACAAAATTAGTGACTATTAAAAAATAAACTTTTACCGCGGCGATTATTTGGCAGGGGCGGTTAATTCAGCAGGGGTGCTTATTAATTTTTGCTCATACTATGTAAGGGAGAAAATTTATTTCCAGTGTTTTTCAGTTCTTTTTCTGAAGAACCATCATTAGCCACGATCAACCATCAGCAACTTCGACATGATGTACAAAATTGACTTTACGTGTGGCATAAGAGGACATCATGTTTTTAAAACCAACTGCACTCCCGTGCTCAAAGAAAAGTTTGTTGGCAAAAAAATGGCCGAGAAGAAGCCCTAGGCAATGATAAGCATCCAATCGGAGTTTATAGAAAAAATGGAACCCTTGCTGGTCATTTTCTTATTGAATTCTCTCGTCTCATGGATTATTTTATGATAAACAAAGAAGGAAACTTTGTTTTAGCTGTGGTTGCCGGACCGAGAAACGCAAAGTTGGACTTGTCGTTCCAGCGGATTTTTCAGCCTTTACTGACGATTTGAGGGTTGCCACTGTTCTCTCTGCAGAAATTTTGAATATTAAAAAGAAATATTCTCATTTTGAGTTAGCTTATATGGAGGCCAAGATAATTAAACGACCAATTATAAAATGATTACTTGTTTTAAGTATATTGAAGTTAATGTTGACAATGAAATATGTCGTTTAAGCTAAATTCAAATATGCGCCCGGTCTTATTTTTGCATTATGATTAGCGTCCCGTTTGTTTAGGGGCGCTTATTCAAGCAGGGGGTGCTAATTGAAAAAAATTGACTTAATCCCCGGGAGCTTATTTGGCAGGGGCGGCTATTTGGCAAAGGGCGCTAATTTCGTCATTTACGGCAAGCAAAAACAATCAAAGCGGCTACCTTGTTGCATCAGTCTCGTAATCAAACGGAGTCCGGGCCAAGAGTTGGTTTCCAATGATAAAGAATTTCCCTTGCAAGAAACCATCAGATACCAAGACGTAAGTGTGGTTGTCTTTGGAATTGACATCAACAGAAGAAAGCAAGCCGATAAGTGTACCAGGTGGACTGTTTTCAAGAACAACATGTCTACCCGAGAGGACAATCTGGAATAAATTTGACAGAATAAAGAATTGGGGCGAAGTTATGAAAAAAACGTTAATTAACATTGATGTCGGTCGAACAGCAAAACGGGATACAGAAAAAACTTGCCAGGAGAAACGGCGGGATAATGACATCTGCACAAAAACTTTGTTAAAAACACACTTTGGGTATTGATTTTCCATCTGACTGTGTGTCGGTTGTCTGTCTCTGAAGGGGTGAAGCGGGTGTTTTGGGGCAGGGAGAGTTATGTATTGCATGGGTGTAGGAGATACGTCGAAGAAATGCGTCATCACTTGTTTAACTGGGCCATGCTAAAGGGGCACTTTTCAGATAAAAAGAGGGATTTTGCACCAAAAAAGGGAAAGCATTTTGTATAAGGGAAAAAGCTATATCTCTAATATCGTTTATTTCACTATTCACAAAGAATGGAAATTCCACAAGACTAAGCCCAGCCAATGAACACTGGGGGCTTGAGCCCCCGAAACGCTCATTATACAATTCAATACAACGAGAAAAATTAGTTGTACGCTTACATCTGATGGTGGGTCATTGATACGTCTACAGTACGTTGTTTTATGTCCCGCTGACCAATCGCCATCGGCTTCACAAGATACTGAAGCTAGCCCTTTCAGTCGATATGTAGAAGGGCACCCAACAGTACATGTGGTTTGGAAAACAGAAGCACCATTTGGGCAAGTGAACCAGGGTGGTCGGCACACAGTTCCATTTGCTTCTCCTGTAAATTTCAAGAGAGCGCAAATATGAAACGCAGCCTTCGCAGATAGAGTTTAATTGTGATTTATAGAAAAGGTTTTGAATAGCGTAACAGTAATCCAAAATATCCCAAACTCCAATCGTGACCCTAAGCTTGCGTTTGAAATTTCCAAGCCTTATTTGCGCCATTCGTTAAAGTTAGTGTTCAGTTTTCAGCTTTCGTTATTCGGGGATCCTGATTTACGTAGGTTGCAGGTTGAAAAAATCATAGCCCTTACAGACAAGCTAACAGACAATACATTTTCCCTTCTAAACTTCACTTGCATGTGCGGCTAGGGTATAAGAACTAGAATCTGCAATTTCGCCAAATTCATCTAATTAAAGACTTCCGAGCTGAAAAGGCAGTAGAAAGATCAAAGGTGTAGAAATTTCAGCAAGCGTTTGCTTTGTAAGTAGAGGATACCGATCTTGCTTTTGAAGAAATTAGGAATGGTATGCGCACTTTCAACGTACCCCTTATACGGAAAATACACCCTTTTTATAAGAACAATTTTATAAGAACACTACCCTCCAAATTGGTCAAAAGTTAAGAACAAGTTACGAACAAGCTGAGGCTGAGCTACTGTAAAATGAAATTTTGAACAACGTTTTATTTCAACAACGAGGATTTTTAGTCATATGTGGGTGCTTTTTCGGTAAATATTCAAACATGGCGGCAAATGAAGGTTGTCTCGCGCACTTTGTTGGCAAAAGAGGCCTGAACACCCCCCCCAGAACGAAAAGCTAGAAATCGCCTCAGACTTTCGAAAAATTTAAGAAAAATCAGCCTGAACTCAAACTACCCAACCTTGACAAAGTAAAGCTTTAGAAGAAATCATCTATAAAGTTATAACCTTATAATCAGATCCTAGTTCATAAAAATACTATTCTAATAAGATCGATTTGTTGATGAAACTGTAGGTAAGAAAATTGGGCGGAATCATTTCTTACAAAAATATTATTTGCGTTCCAATCATGAACCAGCCAATGACTTCACTCGCACGTGAATCATAAATCTTTCGTCAAACTACAAAACTTGGTTAACCATTCAAAAGGTTATTCCGAAAACAGGATTCGATCGGGCATATCTTCATGAATTATGTTTGCAAAATTTTGCAATGGACATTTCAGTAACATTTGAACAAATCATGAGATAGCGTACTGGCTTGTGGTTTAAATCCGAATGCGGGGCGCCTGTACTCACCTGGTGGGCAATAATCAGCGACTGGCCTGCCGCAGTCCTTCTTGTCACAATGGGTGCCATTGCGCAATTTGTAACCGGGCAAGCAGTAACATGACGCATCTGCTTCTCGACAAAGCTGTCCACAGCCACCGTTCGGTAACCCACAAGTTTTCGATTGCTGAAATAAACAATATGCATTATATTAAAAACCACGAACTGTTATTGCACTAAATATTTGCTAGATGCCATTGCTATGCAAAAGAGGCAGTGAAACCTGATACCCTCACTTCTGACGTCACATACCCAAACGTTAGCACCCAGACGAAACATGACGCTTCGATCTAACATTCGATATGATAAAGGGCACATAAAGACTTTACGTAACCTAGAAAAATAATACTCTTTAACGTTTAGATTCTCATTGATTGCACAAATGCGATTTTTGCCTGACAGCCTCCAGAGAAAAGAACATAGGATACTTCCAGAGTGAATTAAAATGCTCCATTTTTGTGCCATTTCTAAATATTACAGTACCGAAACTTGATTGGAACTATTTCAGCACCCACCTGCAAAGGGGGACAGCTGGCTCCATTACATCTCTTCGTCTGGATTACGTTTCGAAGTCGAACTTGAGTTCCATATGAGCAATTTGAGCTGCATTGTGCCCAAGCTGCCCAACTGCTAACCTACAAAGTAATACTTAAAGCATGAAAACAAAATAGATTCAAATGGATAATGGACTATTTCAGCATATATTTATATATTTACCTTGCGTAAGGCTCTAAAACATTGGGAGCGTTGGGGTACAGGGAAAAAAATATATGTTTTAGACTTGGAAAAGGGGGTGGTAAATGCAAAAGATAAAATAAATAAATACCAGATTAAGCACGTAGTAAATAAAGGAAGGTTAAAAGAATTAGTAAACTATAGCAGAGAAAGTACAGAAAATAAAGCTAAAATAAGATATAGATAAATCGAAAGGAAAAAATTAAACTTTCGGTTGCATTGACATCATGATCATGTGAATCACTGGATGCTACAAGCCAGAACTTAATAGATTCAAAATTCAACTGAGTTTTCAAGCGAATAAGAGAAGCCGCTTTCTAAATTGAATTAATATTCTTGACATTGACGAAGAAAATCGTTAGGCCTTTAAGGCTAGGTGATGCCGCTATGAAGACAGGTGATTCCTTGGCAAATAAAACGCTCATGGAAAACGGTTACCGTGAGATCAACGCTAATTCTCAGGTGATCTCATATGAAACAACTTATATTTTGCGCAACAACCAACCTATAAAATTCGATAAAACTAAAACCGTAAACTACCTATAAGTAAAGGGCTGAAAAGACTAAAAATATGTGTAAGCATGTTGCAAAATATTCAAGAAAATCTACGGGACCTGAGCTTGCTTGAGTTTTTATGGGTGTACTTGCCTGTAAAGAGGTATAGGGATGTAGGCCTTTAATCGAGGCCGTCTCAGGTCACTGGACAGATGGCGCTATCGGTATTATTGAGTTCTCTAATAAATAAATAAAAAATAAACCCTAATAATGGTAGAGAAAATGAAGAGCCATCCAACTTCGAAAAGCTAGCCTGTATGTCAATTTAGTGGTTCTCAAATATAAAAAATGAGAAGCTTAACTATAGAATTCTAAGTCGATTTGTCAATACCATAAATTTCACATAGTTTTCAAGCTGACTGACCTGACAATCTCTGTTCTCTCTGTAGCTTTGACACTGCCTCGTTTCGGTTAGGTTCCCACATGGCAACCCACATGCAGTTGGTTGCCTCGTTATGGAGCGCGCTCGTTGCTGAAGACCGTTGCCACAACCAGAGCTGCATGTAGACCAACTAGACCACGGACCAAGCTGACAATCAATTTTCTGAACAACGGTGCACTGTTGGGCTTGGGATAAGACTGAGCTGCAGGCACCACCGCAACTGGCAGGGGTGGCCACTTGGCGTGTCCTTACTTGCGATCCTGGCGACCAGAGAACATTCAATTAAATTTACGGTACGTTTCGAACGGTACATTTCGATAAAACTAAATGGTTTATAAATGTGCTTAAAAACACAACTGCAAGACAAATATCCGGTTGATTGCTTTAACAAGAGAACTGCCCCCTTACCACTCAGAAGATATGTACCTTAAAGAAACCGTTTCCATTTGTGTTCCTTACAAGGTTTTTTTCGTTTGTTTTTCAGAGGTTTATTTGCTGGGACAGCATGCCTCAGATAAGCCAACTTATCCTCAAGCTGGATTTACAAATCTATAAACCATATTCCTACCTTGGCCACAGTTTGCTGAGCACTTTCCCCATGCAGTCCATTGCGACAGAGTACAATCAACCGGGCAGCAGCTATGAACGCAGTCCCTTCTGTCCGTTGTTGCTGGACAAGCGGAGGCACAGTATGGCTGTCTGACAATCGTTCTTGTGCGGGCCTGAGTGCCAGCTCCGCAAGACCCACTTTTCAGTGTACATGTGCTCCAACTGCTCCATTGAGAAACCTTACAATGATAGGAACCGTTACTATCGCACTTCTACAACTATTTGACATATCAATAGGAAGCTACAAAAATAAGCCAAAGTTTCATTATTTCCAAAAACAGTTATTTTCAGTTATGGTTTCCAGCTACAACGTTTGAATAATTGGATTGAGCTAAAACAAAAATAAAAAAGAGCTTTGAAATTCTAAAATATAGAAATTCTAAGGCTGTTAATTATAGGGAATAAGTGTTTGGTGAGGTTCTTTGGTAGAATAGTTTGAACAAGCACCATACTGGTTCAGGTTCAGAACAAGCACCATACTGGTTCAGGTTATACTGAAAAATCATCATAACTGCTACATCGTGTAATTCACATTAGAAGGTTACGACAAAGCTCCCCCGAACCTGGCATTGTATAGGCACTGGTGTACATGCTTTTGATTCCTGCAATGCAGAACAGGTGCCTCCACAAGACTGTGCTCTAACTACAGTTCTGCTTCTAGCATGAGTCCCTGAATTCGTACTGCATTGACCTTAAAGACAAACAAAGGTCTTACATAATGACCTAGCGATGCAGCGAGCAAAATACATGCTCTGTTCAGTAGACAAATGAGATCGCCACCTGATAATGTGAAAGAAATTAGTAAACATTGGTACGAAATTATGATGTAAGCATGTCATGGAAGCGTATCAATAAACTGATAAGAGTAAGTTAACTAGATATGGAGACAGGCTCAACAATCTCCTGCAATTATCCGTCCTAAACTATGAATTAACTATATGTTTTACATATTCACCACAGCATCAGTTATAAACAATACACAAATCCTTTCATGGTTTGCTCAGATTGATATTTCTTCTTTAACAGAGGCATTTTCTTTGAGCATTAATAATTATCTGCTGATTAACTCATGCAAAATCACTTAAATTGCTAGACGTAAGTTTCTGGCACATAAAGGTCTAAATATTGTAACAATGGTCTCATATGTGCTATTTAAACTTGTAGAATTCTCATTGCAAAATTCAGTGGATACAACTGCGGGCAGCTCACAAACTGCGCTTATTTAGCTACGTTTCCCGCACTGAATTGAAACGAATATAATATATGGCCTTCTGGAACTAATAAAAAGAAAATATGTAAACAATGTGGGGAACCAACCTGCGGGGGCTGAGCACGTCCCCCATACTGTCCAGTCACTCAAAACACAATTCCTCAGGCAACATGGTCCGTTGCACGTGTTGTACTGTGTGAGACCTGGGCAAGGGGTTCCATTGCACGATACAGCTGTCACAACTGTCCTTGTTCGTGATCGAACTCCCATTTTCTCGCATTGGGCATTGCATGACCCCCAGCTACCCCAAGAGGAGACCGCGCAATTCACCGGGCAGCATCTGGGACAGAAAAAAAATTTCATCAAAGAATGGCAAGAACTGTTTTCAGTGTCTAATTACTGAGTACATGGACAAGACAATACAGATCATCAACCATACACGGTACTTTTAAAATATGTGACACTCGGTGTTCCTTCAAGTACTAAAAACACCCTTTGAGCCTCTATTAATTTTTTTTTTTTTAAATAATTTTGACCATAGATTTTACAAGCATATTTCTGATTAAGATACATTATGGCAATGAACCAGACTGCGGAAATGTATGAAAAGCTTTTCTCATGGTCAGTGGAAGGGCAACACTAATTGCCAAAAAAGAACAGACAAAGAGAAAGCCTTGCAAAACAAAGTAATGTCATTTGTGATGATGTGATGATTTGTGATGATGTGATGATTTGTGATGATGTGATGATTTGTGATGATGTGATGATTTGTGATGATGTGATGATTTATGATGATGTGATGATTTGTGCTGATGTGATGATTTCTGATGATGTGATGATTTCTGATGATGTGATGAATAAAGATCCTATTTTAGACAAAGCTACATTAACATTGGAAAAGCGTAAATCACTATTTACTTGAGAAAACTGGCAAGCAAGCAACTGCATAACGGAATGAACTGAGGGCTTGTTGTCAAAGAGGTTTCAAAGAAAACCACCAGATATACGCACAAAGAAAAGTAAATGCTGGTTAAATAGAAACAGCTTTTTCTGCTTGATATCACGACATTGTTTATTTTGAGCTTAACTGGTGTATCAGCGAAAGAGGCTGACTGTTTCTAAAACGGGCACTTCACAGAAAGCGTAAGGCCTAAAGAGCCCTATCGTTGTGATGTATTTCAACTACTCTCTATCATGAGGATTAAAATGCAATAAATTCTAATACATCAGGTTAAGCGAGAAAGCAGATCCGAGCGGAGATATTTCGAGGCGGAGATATTTAACTATTTGTGCATATTGTAAACCATTATTATTTGAAAAATTTTTTTTTTTAATTGTTATTTTTTATTCTTACTGTTATTATTCAAACAAAACTAATATTAAACTATCGTCATTTCACGTCAAACTGGGCACATGGCTCTGATAGCTTCTTCATGAGTATTTTCCGTGTGTCCATCAGCTGATCTTATAAATATCTTATGTTCTTCCCTGTAATGTAATCTTTATTGTTATTAATGATTGTATCTTAACAACTAGCATGACGTATCTTGTAATTAATTGATTTGTTGCTGAAAAAAAGTTTTGATTTGATTTGATTTGAGGCCCACAAAGCATGTCATAGCAAGGTTAAATTGAATTTGGGATAACGCAAGGACACACTGTCTTTCGATGAAGTGCTTTAGGCAAAGATAAAATATAAAAAACGCATGTGAAGCATAGAATTAATTATTCCGTTTGAGACAACAGGGTGTTTTGAGTACAACACATTTAAGCCCATTTTTTTAAGATGGGAACTTCGATTTTCGGGTACCAAACCGGCCACTGTCACAAGCAAAGTACAATGTTCACTGTAGAAGAAACTTTTAACTACACTTTGTGTAATAGGGAACGTTGTGATACACCTTGCAAACGTTCATATACTGCATATATCTTTTAGAGTCACATTATACTCTTTTAATGAACAACTTTTAGGAACATGAGCCTCAAAAAAGAATATACCTGCACCTTACCCGTCCATTGCTTTTTTCTACAGTAAAATATAATCTCGTGTCTAAATTAATTTACCGTGAATCCTCGAATTGACTCATACTTTTGGTGATAACTAATTAATTATTCATAAAGAAATTCCTACTAAAATATACGAATATTTTTATTAATGTCTTCTTAATATCTACAATAATTCTATAAGCCCCCTCTCGTTGAGCCCCCCCCCCCGCGAATAACCCACCATCCAAAAATTTTAAAGATAAATAAGCCCCTGGGGGGGGGTTATTCGAGGATTTACGGTAGCTACAACCCCAAGAACAAATTAAGAACATCCTGCCTCAACGTTAGAAAGAGTGTTATATGTAAGAAAGAGTGTTTTACAACTCTGTTCAATCCAATGACATCGAAACAGTAGAACATGTACTCCGACGCAGGTTGAAAAGTGGGGGAGGGGCAAGGAACATTTTAACAATCATAACTGAAGATTTTAAAAAAAGCTCTACTGTTTTCCAAAAAAGTGGGGAGAGCATGGCCCACCCTCGCCCCCCCTCCTCTTCGTCGGAGGCTCTGTAGAAATGGTCTTAACTTAGACCGTAGTTGCCGGGGCTTTGACAAAGATTGAAAGTTGGAGGGCCTAGGGCCATTTAATGATACGCAACAAAAGATTTTGCAAAAATGGCTATGCCCCCGTTACTTCGGGGTATAACCGGAAGCAAAGATGTTTCGGAGCAAAAAGCGTTTTCGTTACTTTCTGGCCGAAAACCTGTGTGTAGGAAATGATTAGGATTTCTGGCTTTGAGGAGAAGCTTCTAAAGACTGAGTCATCCTCTGTGGACGTAGAATATGCACAACTGCAAAAGCATTATTAAATTAAATTAAACGACTGCAAATCCCTCTAAAGGTCATTGGAAATGGGGATAAAAATAGTAAATTTGAAATTACTAGTATGCTACCAAAAGCTTAAAACTTTACTTATAGACATCGAGGTATGAATCATATAAAAACATATAGTTGCTTGTCCCGGAAGCATTTCGGAGTTTGAGGCAGTGGCTATCAAAATTTCCGATTGTTAGCATACCTTACATATCTATTGACTGTTACTACGATGAATTACCAAAGTTGCTATGAATGAAAACCGAAGTCGCATTGCTTTAACATTCCACAGCGTGTGTCACAGAGCAACAGATCATTATAAAATTACATATGACCACGATATGATGATGATTCGGCATTGTTTGTCATGAAATGAAATTTGTGGTAATGTTTTTGAAATAAAAATGGCTCCCTTTTTTAGTCTTTATTGTTCTCCTTTTAAATGCGTTTTTTTCGTTGATCTTTAAAAATTTTTAATGGCGGATTATTGAAAATTGTGCCAAAGCATCAAGAATTCAGGTTAAAAGGTCTTAGAACGGTGAATGTTATGTTATGAATAGGAATATGTGTGGATAAAACATGCATGGAGAGACAGAGGGACGATACAATGAATAAAGGAAAAGAGAAGAGACAGTTGAGTTTGCACTTGTCGGGAACGAAAAGTAGACGCTCTAAAGATTCAAGGATATGAAAATGAAATTGCCAGGATACAACATTTATACCAAAAAGTATCGAATTCCGAGACACAATTGCAATTTTTGTTGCATTCTTACATTACATGGATGAACATTTATTACATCTGAATGTAAACTTCATTCAGTTCCACTGCACGTCCGGGTTTGCACAGTTCGGCACATCGCTGCTACGTCCCAGGATCGGTGTTCTCAAGGGAGCTGACGACAACAGTAACAGCCTTCCCTTTTCTAATTGGATTGATGGATCAAACAGATAACTATATGGTTTTGGAGGACCAAAACGAATAAAACGAGCCAGAAGGTTGCAATTAGTACACTAAACTTTAATCCCTCGGCCTTTCAGGATATTTTTTCAATCACAAAAACTGAATTACAAACTGCCGTGTAAAAAAAACCTATTTTCATAAAATTTTTGTATACTGTAATCATTACAGAATTTTTCCACTTCTTCGCGTGTTAAACTTAAACTCGGAAACATGTTAAAAGTAACATTCAGTTACAGGACCAGAGAGATTAATGATTATAAATGATGATTAAGTTAAAAACAACTTAGGTGTCCAGCTTTAAACGAGCTTTGGTGCGAGGTACTTCTGCTCTGACGAGCCATGGCTCCCAGGGTTAGAGGGCCTTAGATTCGGAGAACTTTTGCCGAGCTCTATTGGTTGACATATAGTTCAAATTAATACAATTTGCGAAAAGATGGTTTTCATTTTTCAAAACGGAGTCAACACCAACACATCGTGGTATATAAAAGTAATGAATGGCACAAGATCTAGACACTTTTCAGGATCATTTCCCCGACATATTCTTACCTTCCAGTATCACAGGCCTGTGATTGCGATTGAGTTGGACAAGCAGTGCCCCCACAAGATGGATTAACAGAGACAACAACGCTTCTACTCTGCGTTCCCCTTCCACAACTACCTTGGCAGGAGCCCCAGTTGCCCCAGCTCCAAGAACAGCTAACAGGGCAGCAAACACGATTGCAGTCCCGACCTTCTGATAAATGATAACAGCCACCGCCACAGCTTTGCACTCGTGTGACATGACGTTGCCTTGTCTGACGTCCGGACGAGCCACAAGAATGACTACAGCCAGTCCATTGTGTCCAGTTACTAACTTCGCAGTTTTGAGCAGAGCATCGCCTGCGTCTTCGTCGTGATGTCCACCAGCACTCGGTTTCGTCGAATAATAACCCAGCGAGAAGCACAAAAAGAATCCAAAGAGTATTCCGATTCATTTTGCGCTGTAGCTTGAGGTAGCTGGGCAATTCAAAATTTTTGACCCGCTAAGCGAGTCCCGCGATTAAATATTGGTCAGTATGCCGCTAATAATCTTACAACACTGACTTTGATGGGTATCTTTATGGTAATGAGAGATCGTTTACATAACAATCCATTGAAGTCGCACTATGCTGCGAACAATGAATGGCACACACTATGGTTCGACTTTCCTGACTGGGCAAGTAAAGCAAACATGACGTAGCACAAATCATTGCACAAATTTGCCAAACATCAACAGGGGCAGTGAGTTGGTTGCAAGGGGGAAATCTGCCAACACTGTTTTCGTAAATTTGAAAATTTCAATTTATTATGGATGTTTTGTAACATCGTAACGTAACAGCAAGTACACCCTTTTTTATAAAAACCAGATAATTTTTGTTTAGCCTCGATGTTCTTATCATTTGGATAATTTGTGTATCGTGTTTTTTATACATCGTTTTTATTTCTAAATGAATCTTTCTTCATTTACATACTGAAATTGTTTCCAAGACCACTAAAGAACAGTTTTGCGTGACATTTCTAGTAGCACGGATGATTAGCTAATAAAAATTGGCTCTGTTTTGTTACCGTGGGAGAAAACTTCAAAAAAAATTGTTTTTTTCCGATTTGCTTTTACGAGCCTGGGTCGGGGCCAACGAGCACATTACAGATTGAGGGGACTTGAACCTTGCCCAGAACTTATGACGTCATATAGATTTGATAGTTGGCATGAATTAGCTTTTGCGTAGCAATTAGATTTTCAAGCCATACGCAAACTGTAAAGAATTATTCATTTTATTCGTTTATTCATCTGTTTATTTATTTATTCATTTATTTATTATCAACGTTATTTTAGAGTCGATGCTTGCGTTCCCTTCCGAAGTAAATGTGAAAATCAGGTGACCATTTGTGCAATGGGGTATTCCCAAACCCTCGTAGCTTGGGCTTGCACTTGACATGAAACAAATTTCTGCCGACACTTTCCAAGCGTAAAAATTAACACTTTAGTTAGTTCCGTACGCATTTTTCTTGCTGTAACGTGCTGTAAATAGTGGGTCCGTCATTGCAAGCAAGCGGCCTTGTTTCTTGCAGAGGCCTGTCCGCACAGATGCTTTGGTTCCAGTCAGAACACTAAATACATCGGTAAAAAGCTAAATACATAGGTAAAAAGGAACTGGCAAATCAGTCAGAGAGATTACCAGTCAGAGGAATTTTCCTGTTCTGTGGCTCGATTTCTAAATACACTCGTTTGTATCAAAATCAGTAAATTGAAGTTCAGGCTGGCTGTTTTTAATTTTTCCAAATTTTGAGGTTGGATTGTTCTTGATTTGTTCACAAATTATTAAGGTATAAGCATGTTACTGTTAACTATTGTGCTCAATGGGAGTGTTCAGATTTGCAAACAAAGTGAGTGAGCCATCCAAAGATTGAAAGTTCACCGACAAAGCACCCCTAGACCCCTAGATGGCAAAAATCTCCTCGTTTTTGAGATAGGATTTTTAGGAGGTTTCACAATTCTGTTCAAAATTATACTGCCTTAGCCACAGCTTGGTTATTGAGGCTCGTGTTTTTATCAAAATATTCTTATAAAAAAGAGCGTACCTAAAGTTGTCATCTGAAAAAATTTCTGGACTCCTTTAAATGCGTGGTTTCTTTATGATTTGCCTATTTTAGTGAAATTTAACAAGTTCAAATACACTCTTTTTTTATAAGAACAATTTTATAAGAACACGAGCCACAAAACTGGTCAAAAGTTAAGAACAAATTAAGAACAAGCTGAGGCTGAGGTTCTGCAAAATGCAATTTTGAACAACGTTTATTCTCAAAATCGAGGATTTTTAGCGATGTGTGGGTGCTTTTTCTGTGAATATTCAAATTTGTCAGCAAATTAAGGCTGTCTCACTCACCTTGTTGGTAATGAGGCCTGAACACCACCTTAGAGCGAAAAAGCTAGCAATAGCACTGCTTACACCCTCTTAATTTAAGAACAAATTAAGAACAATCCAGCCTCAGATTTTCAAAAAAAAATGAAGAACAGTCAGCCTGAACCTAAATTTACTGGTCCTTATAAAAAAGTGTAGTGGGTGTTCAAAATCGCCATCGTCGTATTTCTATATTTCTATATGAAATAATCAATAGTATACAATACCTGTCTAATGAGCTATTAAAATAACGGTTAACATTTCGTCAGCTGAAGCTTTTTTAAAGTTTAGATATGAAACATATGCTCGGCTTTTAGAAGCACATGCTTGGCTTGTCTTGTCTTATCATCTACAGCCTCAAATTTGATGAACACGAAATAACTTCAAGCTTTCATTTTTTCAAACGTATATGGCCTGCGGTCCGTTCACTGGAGCGTCTGGAAAAATAACGATTTGTCGATACCTTCTAAAAAGTTAAGAAATTCATGTACTAGGATTTTGCTAAATCGTTTTTATAAAATAGGTGGATTGTTGTAAAAGAAGAGCCTTGGTTAAAGAAGGTCCACGAGATAATTTGTTGCCTTGGGGCTTCTAATTTAGTTCGTTGATGCTACCGCCTGACCCGACTTTTCTTTATTGTGAGATACGAAACGAAAAAACGCCACTGCGTAGGAGACAATCGTGTTTCAAAGAAAATGTGATTGCGGATAAAAAAAGGTAACCCTTTCTCCTCTTCTTTTGATTCAAATCTAAGGGGTCCTAAGGCCTCCTAAGGGCTTCATGCAAAATGGAATTTATGTGAAATGAGAAAGTGCGAGAAAGCATACTCTCCAACAAACAACTTCAAGACAATCTAAGTGTCTCACCTCCCAGTGTTACATGCCTGTGACTGGCTTCTTGAGTTCGGACATGTTGTCCCCCCGCATGATGGATTACGCAACACAACGACAGTCCTGCTTCTACTTCCAGTGCCACAACCTTGACATGCACCCCAATTACCCCAATTCCAAGCACAGTTAACTGGACAGCATTTCCTATTGCAAGCTCTTGCTTCTGACAAATGGTAGCAGCTGCCCCCACAGCTGTGTATACGGGTGACGGAGCGATGCCTACTTTGCACCCCAGCGCTGCCACAGCTAAAGCTACATGTACCCCACGATGACCAACCAGTTACTTGACAGTTTGTTGGAGAGCATCTTCGTCTTCTCCTTCTAGAGAGCCACCAACCTCTTGTGGTATCAGTAAAATACAAAAATACCAGGCAAAGTATGAAAAACGATGTCCTTACTTCCATCCTTACCACAGAATACGGTGACGGTTTCCTTGGAATAGCTGACACTTTGCACCTCGCTGTGAGTACACAGTCATGATTGAATAAAACACACTATGTTATCAATATGATCTGCAAACAACTTGTTTTGCAATGTGCACTAGATATGTTGTTTGTGCTGCTATCACGATCCAAGTGTAAACCATTGTGGAACCGTGGAAACAGCACAAGTGACAGCTTCGTTTCCTTGCTAGAGATGTACTTGGCATTCGTAAAATATGGCAATTCATGTTAGGGTTTTGATCAAGGCCCGTAGCCAGGGGGTTGCATTGTGGCAATGCCACCCCTGGAGCAAGAGAACACCAGTTGTTTGCCACCCGGAGAATTTGTCTCCAATTTTTTTTAATGCACTTTTTCGTCGTTGGATTGTCATGACAATTTGAGTCAAGATAAGTTTGGCGGAAGAATAACTGTTTACTTGGGGCATTCATTTCGAGACCCTGATACCTCCATACAAATTAGCGTCAATATTTCTGTTCTGGAGAAAACATTCGAAGAGCTTGGTGTTTTTCTCCAAGCAGTGTGCAAATCTTCTCTCGAATGCTAACATTTAAAAATTTTCTAACTGAATAGAAACTAAGAGGATGGAAAGTTGTTCAATTTCTGCTACAACCTTTTTGCTTCTTTGTTTCCACTAACTCTCCGCACCCCCTCCTCTCTCTCACAAAACTTCAGTTTAAACTTTGCCTGTATTTGCCACCCCTACGCCAGAGGGCTGGCTACGGGCCTGTTTTGATCTGCTGTGTATATGGAGTTCCGTTTGGTAAATTAAATTAATAAAATGAAACTTAACTATATTGATGCATCTTGAATTATTTTTTGCTTTTCTTCAATATCTATCAAATGATACAAATTTAGTGACGTTAGTTTTTAATCACTTACAATACATACTAAGAATTTGTTTTTGTTTATCCTTAAAGATTATCTACCCTTAAAGACTTATTTCTTTATATAATAAAAGATTTATAGGCCGAAATAGCCCTTAAGGCTACAATGTTAATCATTTGTTGAAAATTTCATAAGCACAAATTGTTAACTTAAAATTATATACAAATTGCTTTAAAAATTTTATTGTAAGACAATTTATTAGGAAAACATTTTACTTCGAATTAAAATTGTTTATATTCAAAATATTCATAGTTAAGCTAATCATAGTTAAGGCTTATCTTTAGAAATTGCAATGGAAAACGTTCACTTTCTATTTGATTGGTAACACTATGCCTGAAACAGTTCAGTAGCATAGTTGATTAACAGCTAGCATTGGCTTTCAGCATTAGTGTGATAGTAAAAATTCAGGGCGTCCGACAAAGAAGAGGCCGGGAGGCCATGGTTTAGAACTTTTTTTTAAAAAACAACAGAGCTTTTCTCACAATCTTTTTTTATGGATGTTCAAGTATTCCTCGCCCCCTCCCCCACTTTTCAACCAGTGTCAGAGCCCATGCCATAACCGAATTTCAAGGATTGATCCGAAAGAAAGCAATGCTTTACTTAGGGATAGCGATGTAGGGCTGCAGAGGGCTAGTTGGGACTGAGGGGGTCGAACCATAGACTGTGGTCGAACCCTCCCGTCGATTTCCCGTGATTCTCTGAAAATTCTTTTGCAACGTTTTCTGATGAGGCATATAAATCCGTTGTAGATTTCACCAAAGTCCAGCAGATAACATTTTGGATTGGGGAACCATAGCGAGCGAAAAGGACCAAAAAGTAATTTATGCTATTAATATCCAGTAAAAATTGACATCTTTTGACAAAAAGCAATTGCTTTGCCCCGGCATGTTTCCCACAGTAATATGAGATGGTCAAGGAATAGCAGCCGATTTTATTCGCTGCACATTTGATAATAAATGTTCAAGTAATGAATCGATTTTCTTGTAATGAAGCGATCAACTTGTAACGCTTTCGTCTCTAAAGAGTTCCTGCCATTAGCGACACAATCTTGAGTGGAGCGGACATTAAAAATCCGAGGGCAGGAATTTTGCTGAAATTACATATAGAATTTAGTATCTCACCCTATTCTACAATAATAAGAATCTTTAAAAGAGGAAGGCTATGCCTTTTCAGACATATTTGAGTGTTCTTTTTGCCACCAACATTTTGCTACGGTCTCGAAGTGCGCGCTGTTTTTGATATTCACTTCTTTTTAGGGCCCATCGTGGTTAATGATTAATGTTCACGCTAACCCTAACCCAACCCTAACCCAACCCCAACCCAAACCTAACCCAAACCTAACCCAAACCTTACTGGCCCTATTCTTGTACAGAAATAAAGAAAATTTCCTTTGGTATCCTATTGTTGTGCCAAGGTTTAACCTTCTTCCTCAAAAGTTTCCGGTTTTCTTGGTAATCTTTGTCAATAAAAACATTCCTGAACGCAAACAAGAAAGGAGTGATCTCGTACCTTAGAGGCGTACATTTTTCCGTTTGGAATAAATTGTCAGGGCATGCCATACCACCACAGGATGGGGTTCTTGTTATTGTTGCATTTCGATGCCTGCTTCCTGCCACGCACCCACTGCATGCTCCCCAGTTGCCCCATGTCCATCCACAGTCGACGGCGCAACAGTTAGAGGTACATGCTCTAGTTTCCCTGAGCCTGTAGCATCTCCCCCCACAGGTCTGGTCTTTAATAATAGTACGCAACCTCTCTTGACGACCGCCACCTCCACACGATTGCAAGCAACCACCCCAGCTGGACCAGGCAGACAACACGCAGTCTACAGAGGTGCATCTCCGCCTCCTTCGTCTTGTATTCCACCAGGATCGGACATCGCAGATTAGAAATCCAAGTATAAGCAACGAAAGGAGCAATAAACATCCCCTTTTCATTCTTATGCTCCTTATAAAGACACTGGGTCGTTTCCAAATAAAATACAATCTAATTCCTAACCTGATAACTTAGGATTCCAATAGGGATTGTTGCTGTGACACCACTACCTCCTTTTCGCCATCATGACCACAGGCAAGCCTTTATCACCACAACATACAAGTATCATATATCGATGAACATTTGCGTTAGAACAGCTTGCATTCAAGTGACCTCAAAACCGATCTCTAGCTTTTCAAGCTCAAAAATGTTTATAAAAAGATTTACATAAGAACATGAACCTCGAAATTGGCCAAAAGAACACATTGAGAAGAAGCTGAGGCGGCTCCCAACAACATCTAACAATCAAATGTTGGATGGAACGAAAATGATTCATTTCGCCCATCAAGGCACTCGAAGGCACCTATCAATTGGCATGGATAATAGAAAGAAGAATTGATTTTGTGTTTTATGTTACATTCTATTATGTTGCCTTTTTTGGTTTCTCAAAAGGAGCCTTTTAGTACTTAGTATTTAAGAATTTGAGAAATTTTTAAAACTAAAATCAACAACAACAAATTGAGTAGCTAATTGTGTACTTCTCCAGGTTTCAGTTGATCATATAAATGCGTCCACTCTATGCTGTGCCTCTATGTGATTTTAGCAAAGAACCGATGCGGAGTAATGAAACTCCAAAACTTCATTCAAAAGTGAGGTTAAATAGATAGCACTATCGCTAACATTGATGACAATTTGTTTACATTAATCTCTCCCCCTTTTAGTATTGTCTCATTGAATTTAATATATGGCCTGATTTACACACCTCAAATGTGTAAAATTGTACCCATGCCCCACCAAGGACAACAGAGCATAGTACAGATTGAGGGGGCTAAAACGCTTTTTGGGGGGCTAAACATGCTAAAAAAAGCAGGGCAACTTTTTGTATGGTTTAAGTGCATTTTGGAAATAATTGGGGGTGCTAAAGCCCCCTCAGCTCTACCCCCCTTGCTTCCGCGGTCCCTGTGCCTCTCTGGAAAACCTCGATGTCCGGGGCAATCGCAGCATTTTAGAAAAATAGAAATTTGAAATTATTTGACCTCGTAATTATCGCAAACGTTTCAATCGAATCCGGGCTTAACGGTCGCAAACGGTTGCCTACAGTCTTTGGAAACTCCACATAATTAGATGAACCTATATTCTTCATTGACCTTACATCAGCCACAAAGTCAGTTAGGAAGTCATTCAATGCAGTTACAAACTACTCACTTGGAAGACACACATGACCTTGTTTGGGATCTGCTCGTTGGACAGGCTGTTCCTCCACAGCTGGGGTTTCGAGTAATTGCCAATGATCTTGTCTGCCGTCCATTGTTACCGCAACCTTGACAGGCCCCCCAAGCACTCCATGAAGACAAACAGGCGACTGGGCAGCAAACACGGTTGCAAGCTGCATTCTCTCTCAGACCATAGGGACAAGAGCCCCCACATGATGCACCTGTTATATAAATTTGGAAGAAATTAGCACTGGGAGGGGTTCTGAAAAAGTAGTCAAAAAGTATATTGCACTTAACTTGTAAAACTTGTTAGGTAGTGGCAGTGGCGCAGAGAGGGGGGGCAGGGGGGGCACTTTGCCCCAGGGCCTCGGCCTGAAAGGGGCCCCGAAATTATTCTGAAATTTTTTTAAAATGTCTTCTTTTGAGAAACTGAAAATGCATTTAAAGATATATTTGTTAATATCGAAAATGATGGCAGTAATTTCATTGGGTACGTTTCATTGAGTACGTGTCGGGGGCCCCAAGAAAAGCTGAATAAACCTTAGATCACAAATTTTACGGATTAATCTTTTAAGCTGAGTTTCCCTGAGTTTCGCAAAATCGTACTTATTGGGGGAAGGGGGCCCTGATAAAAAATTAGGTAACCCACATAATCTTGTTTGAATCTATGGCCCGTTCAAGTGAGTTATTTTTGCATTTAGACTCGTTGCATAAAGCTATATTATATTTTTGGGGCCCCTTTCAGCAAACTAGCATTAATAAAGAACCGCTTACATTCAACAATGACTCAAGACAGACTATCAAGCCTCGTGACTCTTTCGATCGAGCACGAACTAGCAAGACAAATTGATTACGACAATATCATTGATCAATTTGCAACTGAAAAAGCAAACGTGCGCAAACGTTTGAAAAAATGGGCGTTTTCCATTTTATAAAGGGCGTGGTCTCGAAAAAAAAATTTATCCGACTCTTGGGCCCCAACCGGGACTTTGCCCCAGGGCCCAGGCCGCCTCTCGGCGGCCCTGGGTAGTGGTAACCCATACGCATTGTTAGATGCCACTTCCACATCAATGCTGAAAGCAAAGAACATATAAGGTTTATAACTGAAAGGTGTTATATTACAGCCCCTTTGAGGTGGACAGAAGTGAATAACGCACTGACAGCCAGTTTTTATCAGATATTCTATGAGTTCTTGGGTTTTACAAAATTTAAAAATGACACGAAAAGCCAAAATCTAGCGAATAAAGAAGAAACGAAAACATTTGCAAATTTTTGAATTCAAGTTGAATATGTCCAATGACAGACCTTTATCCTTCACTGCCTAGTTCAGTCGCAGAATTTATTAAAATGGCTGCTTGTAATTATTCTTTTAATTTTCAAAACGGATAATACATTGTGTCACCCATTGTAGCTCTCTCATCCACTGACAGAAAATTCGAGCGGAAGAAAATGGAGGATGCCCTTGTAGAAAGGGGACGAGAGGAGCCTTTCTCCACAGCGCTTTCTATCTTGCTCAACATGTCCTCTCCCTCCCTTGAACCGAGAAACATTAACCCAAGGCTGAGAATTGCACTTCTACTTG